CGTATGTGATCAAGCAACATATTAAAATTACGGTCGCTACTATATGAGTACATGTCAATTTAGGTGCTGTGTTTGGTTGAAATCATTTAATGTATTACCTTAGAGATGTGATTGTTTAAATAACAAACCGTAAAGCTGTTTGTATATGCCTGCATATTGTAACTTAGTAATCCGAGGAAATTCACATCCAATGTAAGACCTTCCTCATGATTTTTCTGTAAAATCCCAGTTCGTTCTGATAAAACTTACGTCACGTTTGAAATGATTATACATGTCACGTATTCCAGACAGACACATTTTAATCTGTTCAGAGCGACAGAGGGCAAGGTCTTCATAAGACCTGGTTTTATTTACAAATATGGACGAATCGTATTGCCAGTGTGCTGGGATGAGCTATTCTTGTAAAAGAGCTGGACTAGTAAAATTTCTTTTAAAATAGGATAGGATTCCTATGATAAAAGCAGAGAGAATAACTGATATTCTGTCGGACCAGTCACCGATAAGGACTAGCATAGTATTGCTACAATCATACACAGTATATTGATGAATGTTAGTTTTCTTTGGTAGAATGGATTGTCCAACAGAAGTTTCTATATCAGGTCTTCCTGCTGTAAGAAAGAACGCCTGGTGACATTCTGGTTTTACGATTGGCGTTAGCAATATTTCGTCTTCAGATCAGTACATCACTATCCAATTCATAGTTATCATGATTGGAAAAATCAGAAGGCACTGAAGCAGATTAATGAACAGTAATATTTAAGTAATGGAAAACTCAATTACAAAAAAAAAAAATAAATAAATAAAAAAAATAGAATCAAATGAAGAGCCATCCTATAAGTGAACTACTGTGCTTGAATTCGAATCAGCCAAATTATGAATTAAACCGCATCATAAAACTGTTTCGATAAGAATTTTTAAAAAATTGTAATGTTCATAGATTTTGTAATACACCACTATGTTCACTTTTCGATCCAACTATACATAATTCGAAATTAGATAAACGGTTTTCAGCTTTCGACGCGAAAAATATTTTAAAGAATGAGAAGTGTCTCAAATGAAGGAATGTTTATTGGGGGAAGGCCAGTGGTCTTTTACTATAAAAAGAGGCCCATGATGGTTCAAAGGAGCTGTTTACCAAGGCGTACCAGACGATGACATCGGTATCACTTGATTCGAAGTCATAGACAAAGACAAATACATGGTAACGCAAAGCAGCATTTTCGAAGACATTTGTTCTGTGTGTGACGGCGGTAATTATTTCAGCGGAGAATTAACAGGAGTTAACATCGATTTCACAAGCCAGTTAGAAAATCTTTTAAAGTGACAAAAGATAGGGAACTTTAAACAACGCGGAAATTTTACAGGATTTGTCAGAACAGTATACTGTTTCATTTGTCAGTGACATTTCGTCATAGTACTAATTGATTTTCAGTCTAGCTTCAGAATACTGTATCATTTGTCAGTGACATTTCGTCATACTATTTATTGATTTTCAGTCTAGCTTCAGAATACTGTTTCATTTGTCGGTGACATTTCGTCATAGTACTAATTGATTTTCAGTCTAGCTTCAGAATACTGTTTCATTTGTCAGTGACACTTCGTCATACTACTAATTGATTTTCAGTCTAGCTTCAGAATATTGTATCATTTGTCGGTGACATTTCGTCATAGTACTAATTGTAGGCATAGCTTCAGGATACTGTTTCATTTGTCGGTGACATTTCGTCATACTTCTAATTGTAGGCATAGCTTCAGGAAACTGTTTCATTTGTCAGTGACATTTCGTCATAGTACTAATTGATTTTCAGTCTAGCTTCAGAATACTGTTTCATTTGTCGGTGACATTTCGTCATAGTACTAATTGATTTTCAGTCTAGCTTCAGAATACTGTTTCATTTGTCGGTGACATTTCGTCATAGTACTAATTGTAGGCATAGCTTCAGGATACTGTTTCATTTGTCGGTGACATTTCGTCATACTTCTAATTGTAGGCATAGCTTCAGGATACTGTTTCATTTGTCGGTGACATTTCGTCATAGTACTAATTGATTTTCAGTCTAGCTTCAGAATACTGTATCATTTGTCAGTGACATTTCGTCATAGTACTAATTGTCAGTCTAGCTTCAGAATACTGTATCATTTGTCGGTGACATTTCGTCATAGTACTAATTGATTTTCAGCCTAGCTTCAGAATACTGTATCATTTGTCAGTGACATTTCGTCATACTACTGATTGTCAGCCTAGCTTCAGAATACTATATCATTTGTCAGTGACATTTCGTCATACTACTGATTGTCAACATAGCTTCAGAATACTATATCATTTGTCAGTGACATTTCGTCATACTACTGATTGTCAGCCTAGCTTCAGAATACTATATCATTTGTCGGTGACATTTCGTCATACTACTAATTGATTGTCATTATAGCTTCTGAATACTTTATATTTTGTCAGCTTCGGACTGATTACAAAGATGTTCTTACATTTTTGTTAGCAAGGAATATCTTGGTTGATCAGGAGATCAATCAACCCTATTAGCAAGGATCCTGTAAAGCCATAGACTTCGCCTTACAACACCAAGATATTTATAATCAATGGTAAATTGATGGGGAATATGATATTCTCTTTCACTTACTGGCTACTTTAATACAGAATGATGTTTGGGGCAAGACATCTTCAAACTCCCTATTCACTTTAGATAAAATATTTGGTCTTCGTCTGGCGCACAACATCGTCTATCTTTTAAACAACAACAGAAATATAACAGTGAGGGTTGTACACACGTTGTCACTTATCTGTTATAAAATTTTCATATCAAAATTCAATTGTTTACACAAGCTCGTGATATCCCAATTAATAAAAGATGTTGTCTGGTTTGTGCTTCTGCAGACAGAAAGAACTACCGGGCATTCAAAGGGTGAAGGACGGCGGAGACCTCAACTTCTTTTTACCTAAATGAAACAGTAGGCAAAGCGCTCCGGGTATCTTAATGTATGAATTTGATGTCTTTCAAAAACTTCAATTAACAAAAAAGGAAGTCGTAATCGGGATTGTTCCCTCATCATTTGATTGAAAACATATCTCTTCTGTTAAATAAAGCTGTGTAAATAGCCGCTATAAGGGCTTTGCTGATTGTTTTCAAACATTCTATATATATTACATATTGTATTTTGTTTTCTCAAGAAGAAAGAAACTTGTTTATTTAAAAGAAATCTAGATAATTAACACAACACACTGAGTTCTCTTCCATACCATCATAACCACACACGCCAATTCTCTCTCGTACTGTTTATTGTTTTCCTGTTAGATCAGGTTATCATTTTACCAACAAATTACCCAATCACTTCCGTAATAGCTATGCCGGTATTTTAATTGACAACAGAGATCTTGAGAGCGGAGATAAGTCATTACGTACCTACATTACAATAATCAATTAAAAGGCCTTTGTCAGTAGGTATGACAAATCATCACCAGCCATATTCCTGCTATACTAAGGCTTTAGAAACTAATTCTACGTTAATAAGCAAAAACTTCCCGTAAATATCTAGTTAAGACAAACCTTTATCCTGTATCTTAAGCTCGATTCCGGTGTTTGTATCAATTTTTAGAAGCGATGTCCACACAGCTTCATTATTCTATTTTCGGCAAAAACAAATCATTGACTATACAAGCTTTAATGAAATCCGCGTGGAGAGTTAATGGTACAATAATGATTACGCGTACAAAACAATAAGAAGTTGACCAAATAGATATCGGTTATTTATTTGATAACTACGTATTTTGATATCCCATTTAAATAATTACCCGATACACTGCCAATGCGAACAACAAAAAAGTTTTCTTGCAAATAAACAAATCATGTAATATTACATCTACATGCATTCCATGTCTATAATGAATTATGTTAGTATAAAAGTGAAGGATATGTTATGCAGCGCAAGTGTCAACATTTAAAAAGTATTTCATCACTGAAATGAAAATATCAATCATGAACGCCATTGATTCCGAGGAAGGTAAATGCGACTACATGCGACACTACAGGACAACACGAAACCTATGGTATAACAGCATCACTGGAAGATGCCACATGTCTTGTCCCAGTGATACCAAAGTTTGAAGATTTACTCAGAAAATCGAAAATGTTTACAATAATCAATATTATTGTTGTAGCACGTGAAGATTCAAAACAAATCTTGTATCTTTGGATAGAGATCTACATTTAATGTTTTTTCGTTGCTTTTTACAATTTTGCAAAGCTGTTTCATATTTTTTAAAAAAAAAAAGTAGTTCGAAAAAGAAAGTCGACATTCCAAGAAAAGAGCTTTGATGTTAGGATCATTTAATTTTCATATTAGGAATATTTTATTTTTATATCAGGAACATTTATTTCTGGATTGTTTTTGTGTTTATTGCATGGAAACATAATATAAAACCATCCTGATTTTGTTTCCGTCAGATTCCAGCTTTTTTCTGTTCTTTATTCTCTACTCTTGGTGTCCCTCTCGGTATCCTTGTGTACCTCTTAGCACTCATCGTCAAAAAACTGAGGACGTAATTTCTCTTCTGAAGTAGTCGGAAAAAGTAAATCGACAATCTCATGCTAGGAGAAATTGTGCTTTTTTAATGTTTGGAACATTTATTTTTAAATGATGAAACTTTTGCAAGAAAATGCGATGGATGTTCATCCTGATTTTCTTTTCCCTCAGCTTTCAGCTCTACACATTTACACATTTGCCAAAAAGTATTTCAATGTATCGGTGGATCCGGATTATCATAAATTTCAACCAGTCGTTGGCGTTTGTTCTCAATGTTATTATATTAGTAAACATCATTTTTAGAATAAAATAATAAAATAAAAAACCGTCATATCAACTATTTATTTATCTATTTATTTCTTTTTTCATTTAGATGACGATCAACTGAGACTCCATCTAACACTCCAAAACCAAAGATGTTATTCACGGAACGTCCAACCTTAACAAGGATTCCAGAAGCCATAATGGGACTTTTGGTACTTTTTTCTGTGTCGCGTCATCAAGTGAAAGGAATACGCTACCAGTGTGGACACGGTCATGGTATGAATTTCAGTAATGAAGACACGGATGGCTACAGAATGACAGTTAGTCATGAGAGACTAAATCCCAACATTGACCTGATTCCAAACATAACATACACAGGTAAAACGAAACATACAGAGTTAAAAATAATTATTCGTGTAGGAACATAAGCGTTCAGTAATTCAACCGTATAACTGTTATGCATGAATTATATATTCTCAAAACGTCTTTTCTAACTGTAATTGTTTGGCCAATGGTTATGTATGTCATTTGTCACTTGGCAATCTCAAAAGAACACAGGCGACGCATTAACAACAACCAAAATATCGTAAAATAAAACCTGAAATTGATATCAGTGCTTTTGGAAAATACATTGTTCTATATAGATATATTGTGTTTTTTTAGAAATATTTATTAAACTTTAAAAATTGCATTTCTCAATTTGTGATATGCATGCCATTTAATGTGGTTAATAATGAAAAAGCAAATTTTTGATATAATGTATATTATATTAAATAATATATAATTTTCTTATAATCGCTCAACTCGTGCAGAAGTAAGGAAAGAATACGTTTGCTGTATCTTGCTGCGTTTTGCAAAAGGCGACTCATTGTATTGTCCCTTGTTTCTCTGTTATTTTCCTTTAAGTGGATATGGGGGAGCCAAAGAATACATAGTGCTGTATGTCACTGTATGATCGTTGGAAGCGACCGAAAGAGGGAATCCTGCAGTTTTCGTGTCTTTTACTAAGGGGATATTAGAGAGACCAAAAACATCATGTGATTACCCCTATTGCGCTTGGATCTTGATCTTTTCCTTTCTTTACTTTTTGACTCTCGATGTCCCTCTTGGCACCCCTTCTCATATAACTGATGATAAGAAACCCCGTAAAACAATCTATATAAATCGATCCAGTTTAATATCAATTTTACTGTATCCTATATGTAAAACAAATACATTAGCGATCAATATATTGACACATACGGCACATCCAAGTCGTTATAATCACATTCATTGTTACACGTTGAAAAGTAAACATTGTATGATAACCGAAACCTCCAGGGAACGTGAAAAATGACAGATATGTTGTATTCCCCAAGATATTGTTGATAAAACCAGACCTAGACTTCTGTGGATATACGGGATGATGTTCCCTCATTCTAAATCAAATTCTGCCATTAGATTTGTAGGTGATCAGCTAAAGTGAACAGAATATTATAGAGAAAAGAAAAATCAAACCTTTACATATCCAACAAGTCTTCGTCAAAGAAAGTGACACACGCCATAGTATTCGTAATTGCTATGTTATCATTTCGATGTTGTTGTTTATGCACAAAGAGATTAATAAGTCTTAGCATATTGATACGTAGTATACATCCCATAATCACATTAATTATCACGCACGTGCGTGCACTAGTGTTACAGCAAGTGGTTTTTGATATTTACACTTGCACTGTTTAGTCGCCAGATGCATCTAACAAACTACAACGTGTGCATTTCTCAATATTTACGCATTGTGATTAGGCTTGTGGAATAATATACGGCCTTGGCATTACTTATACCGGTTGTCAAAATGCCATTATGCTCACATCCATACTTTTTGTTTGTTTGGTTGTTTTTTTTTTTTTTTTTTTAACATAAACATGGTTTATGTTAAACAATTAACGTTAGAAAAGTAAATAAAAACACCAATTTGGAATATTGTTTTTAGAACTATTTTGATGACGTGGCGCCGTCAAAGAAGCCCTAGTGGTTCTATCTACTGTCTCCTGTACAATGTACGTGCGTCGGAATGTAAAATTAATCAATTATCATTAATCGTCGCGTCACACGTGCTGTGCATTTTCATGGCGTCATATTACAACATTTTGGTAGCTACATGACTCAAATGTAATGTAGTAACAAGAAACACTTATAAAGATATCATGCATGGTCCAAATCATCAGAACGTGTAAAGAAGTCAGTTCTAAGAATTGTTGTAATAGGTGTAAACATACAATAAAGGGAAAGGTTATAATGTCATACAATTATTAGCATCACTTCTTCACGATTCCTATGGTGATTGATAATAGAAATAGGATATATGGAGAGTCATTAAGGAATGACATATGAACGAAAGTCTGAAAAGATATGCTATCCGTCGAACAATGACAATATCAAACATACAGCTTATTGATTACAACACAGGACATAATACAATACTGTACACATGTCAAGGTGAGGTCAGTGATAGACACAAGGCACCATGATTCAAAGACAGACAATGTGATCAAATGTTGTAAGGTTTACATACTACGTAATTTATGTTTTAGGTTGTTAATATTAGCTTCAGTAGTTTGTACATACGTGGATTTGGACGGTGTTAGATTCATTAAAAAACAATTATATAGCAAATCACGACATTCATATTGAAAATTGAAGTGAAATGCCTTTTGTTTAAATAGTAATGAATGACATGACGAAGAATTAAAGTGGGTCATACTAAAGTACAAACCGATGATAAACAAATTTCCGAAGGATGCCACAAAAAGAACACGTGACTTAAAAGAACACGTGACTTGTCTGATTACTCGGCATAGAAAAATGTCCAGGTGTAGTGAGCGTGTTAACAAGTAAAAGCCGACCTGACACGCGCTGTGCGTTTTTCATGACGTCGTTTTACGTACATGCCTTGTGGTAAATGGTAGTTTAAAAGAACGAGTTGTTGAGAGCAGTAGTATTACCGCTACTAAAAAGACATGACGTTGGCGCAATTTTTCCCGGCAGGTGAACACACCAATGCACAACAGTCGAGTCAGCAGAATTTTCCTGCAGAATTATATATCGCTGGTGTTAAATTAGTAATCTAAATCACCTGATTTGCCACCAATAGAGCATGTTTGGGACATTCTTTAGCAGTACGTGAGAGAATCTCAAAATTAGTCACCAGATGTTTTAGAAGCTGTCCTAGCATTGAAGAATGAATCGAACATCAATGCTTGTCAAACTCGTTTTCAATGGTGTTACTTAACCAAATGAGCAAAACATTAGCAGCAGTTTTATTCGAGATGGTTCGATTTGTTTATTCGTAAATGATTGGTGGAGTTTTGTACATGAAATAATGAACAAATCGCAAATTTTTTCTTCATTATTTTGCCACGAATTCCATGTTTTATATTTTAAAACGCAAGATTTATCGAGACGCATATTGCACGGAAGACACAATTAAATAGAAATAGCACTCTGCTGTAGAAATTTAAAATTAGACACAATGAAGCCAAACAATTACTATTTGTCTTAGACTCGTCGGTAATGTATATATTTTACAGTAACTTCCGTAATGAAAGGTAGAGCCAATATTGATTCAATTGATTTACATTCTAGTATTTAGTATAGAAGTTAATATTTTAATAAGCTGCTAACAAGATGTTGTTTAATGAAGAGGCAACGTTTCCCTCTTTTCACATTATCCATTATATATAAGCTATGGTAGGTGGCTGGGGATTTTGAAATGGCATTAGATAATGTGTAAACCTTTGGAATCAATATATTTTTGCCTATAAATGTAATACTTAATAATTAATCCAGAAAAGTCGTGATTCCTTTCTGTTTTAACATAGCTAATTCAACTTCACCGCCAGTTTATATCTATAAAGAACTCTTTTGTTTGTAGGTCAATGCTGCCCATTCAGGTGTAGTAACAACATTATACATCAACCTGATTACAAAGTGGTACAAATTCGTTCACGTGCCGCACTCCATCTTAAATGCTAACTAAAGCTACACCTGTGCTCCGAAAATGCAACCAGTTTCAGGTTTTCATAGGAAATACTGATAACGTGATAAGAAGAACAGTTAGGTGTTTACAAGTCACTAGAGATAACGAGAGGTTTACATATGATAATTTATGTGTAATCCATTTTATTTTGTAGAATTGTCTACCTTTTGTTTCTATTAGTATATTCATTACGTGTACAGTTTGTACATCGTCTGGTCTGGTAATTTGAAGGCAATTGTAGATCAAAAGAGCAGGCATCGTCTGTTTCATTGAAGACAGCGGCAATGTTAACCTTGGTCAATCCAAGAAAGTAATATTACTATCTCAAATAAGAACAAGAACGTCAAGTACACGTGCAAGTTCTGAAATGAGCCCCCAACCAGGTTACTGTAAACCGTGGAGAAACCAACAGGTGTGCCTGTCCCCTTTCAGGAATCAATATGGTAATAATTCATGGACAATCCTATTTATATTATTCAGGATGGTAGCTATTTTAACAAAATAATAATGAAAGGGTGTGGGCATTTTACTGGCAGTATGAAAAAATGACTCAGACATCAATTAGGTTTTATTAGAACCATTAATGGAAAATAACGGACGGACAAAAAAACAAGTTACGTCAATAAATCTGACACAAGTCACGTTTCTGAGGTTACCATTGTTTTAGGTTTAGTGCAACAGTAGAGACGGATTTCTCTCTAAATACGGAGTTATAAAGGTATTGTATATCTCGTAACAATCTGATTATACCTCGTCCACATCTCGTTCACTAATTAGTATGAACAGAGAGAAAGTAGTGTCCTATTGGGTACACAAATAGGATAGGAGTATAGAAAATATCACAATTATGCTATTCCTCAAGAACCATCGGCAAACGAAACCTGTAGTGAATTTTGATAAAATAATTGTGTGTTTCACAATCACAAGGACCAACAACCTCATATATAATTCAACAAAAAGAGTTCTTCGCATTTCTTCTTCTTTACACTGGAATTAGGGGGGATATAAAGACAATAATTATAAGCAACAAGAAAAATAGATGAAATTATCGTCTGCTTCACAAGACAATAATGACAAGTCTTGAAGTATCTCTTTTACGCTGACAAAGATCAACTTGTGACAACTTAAACAGCAACATACAGTTTTACGTTTGATGTAAATACTATTAAAACATATACAGATATAAGGCTGTCAATTATCGTGTTCTTGAGACGACGGTTACCGTTTCACTGTTTACATTACATGAAGAAATCTCAAGTTAATTAAAAATAATAATTATAATAATACATGTACTTTGTCACCTTCACAAAGACAACTTATATTTACCTGGTGTCAGTGGTAATTTGTATATTATGAGGTTGTATTATTCTGTATCTGAAACGCTATCGTATATACATATGATATTGGAAGAACTATGACCATGCATACGATTTGTATTTACATTTAACCATTTGAAAAGAAAGCAAAATTTTGTTTTAAGTCTATCGTTGTTACTTCACTCCAATTAACAAGAAAAAAAACGGATTTTAGCAAAATGTTGTTAAATTTAAGGTTTAAAAATAGTATTCCACACATTAAGGCATTCAAAATGAAATGAAGGAGAATAAAATCAATCTCTGTTTTATATATCTGGTTTTATCTTATCTCATTAGCTCACGTTATACTCTCTAAATTGTCGCTACCATCAAAGCATTTATGAGTGAATGTCAAAGAGTGAGCATCAGCATGAACTACAGAATCGGGTTTAACTTGATCAGGGTACAAAAAAATTAATACCTTCCCTATTTTATGGCCATTCAACGATGAGGTCGAACGAAGTATTTATTAGCAACTAGTATCTATATTTTATTTTGATGACGTGCAATCAAAAATCCATTCAGGGAAACAAATAAAAGTGTTGAATATCCAAACAGTGATTCTGCTAAAATTCAATATATGCTATTGTAGGCAACAATATTTATTTTTTCTGCCCGACAATTTGAACGTGGCCGTTTTTAGTCATTCCATGCTTTTGTAGCTAACGTCATCAAGTTGGAAAATTATATTTAATTTATGTATGGATTTAATTTGTTATTCAGCTGACAATATGAATCTAATCATAGAGACGGTGAAAGGATATGTAAATCAGGTAAAGGTTTGGGAAACAAATATGCAATAGATGTCTTATTTAACGAAAAGTACCAAATGAATGGAGATGAGAGAAAGGGATGGAAAACGTAAAATGGAAGAAATGAATACGCTAATGCATTAGAAGTATATAATACATGTGACTATAGCAGTGGTAAATGCAAGAAATTGAAAAAGTGAAAAGTCAAAATGGCACTTACCATCTTGTATTTAAGCAGTTCTGTAATTCACGATACTTACGCGTTCAGAGATTCATGACTTTTTTTCTTTCTTTCTTTTCTTTTTTTGAATTGGGTCTGGTTTTTCTTAGTCGATAGTCTTGAATGGTTAAGGATATACGAAACCACATCAAAAGAAGATAATTCTTAATGTCATAGCCGAGGCATTATATTCTGGTTATTGAAAAAAGACATGAATGGCTCTGATTCTATTATGGCCTCCGCCTGTCAACATTTACTTACGAAGAGTTGCCTAAAATAGATCAATTTTCCCTTGCCGAACCCTCACAGATATGGCCTGATATCTTGACCGAGCAGCATGGTTCACAAGGAGAAAAAGAGGGAGAAAAAAATCAGGTTGAGTGAAAGGACTGCAATATAAGGGAAATATAGTCACATGTTACCATAACAAAACAAAATAAAATCTGGCTTCAGATTTCTAGGTTCACATATTTTCTACCTACCGAATCTTACATTTCTAGTAAGCTAGGAAAACTTCCGGAAACTCCCTAAATGATATGTCTGCCTATGTTGTTCATGGTTTTGGTATAACACCATGTTTCCTTTCCTTATTCCAGTTGAAATCGGACAGCAAGGTTTGGACAGACAAATACAAGCTTTAGAACTTGAAATTTTGTATGACGGATTCGGGAACGGAAACGAAAGCCATGCCCATGACATGGACTGTGGGAATTTACTTACACCTATACGGGTGAAATGGACCCCTGATAACAACCTCAATTCCTGTGTAACATTAAGGTAAGATGCAAGAATGTGTTTTTTTTTACTACTCTGTACTTCAGTTACAATTGACAATAAAAACTACACCAAAGTGTGTTGATAGTTTCATTTTGTGTGAATAAAGTGCATATATACATCTTTTAATCTGCATTGAAAGAAACATTTTCATTGCCGGAATATGATATCGTATTTTGTAGAATTTGCTGTAAGTAAAGTCATGACGTGTCATACTCGTCCTATCAATAATGACTTTAATCATTCTGGTGGTGATTATATCCTGGTATGTAACGTCACATAATCAATTAAAGGGAATTGCAACAATTTAGTTTATAATTTCATATTTCTATAATCTATGCAAAAGTATTCAGAACTTTTATCGCATTCTTTTTAAAATAATTTCTAAATATTTTAGCATACACAACAGATTATACATTACGAAAGTCACTCTAATAATAAGAAATACGATAATAGCATAACACAGGCTTAGTTGTTCGACCATCCATGTTGTTTTATAACCGTAAATCAATTTAGATGTTGCCGTTTAGTGACATGGAATGAGATCCCATAGAGATTAGATTTCCTATTTTATGATTTGACATACCAGAAGAAATCACTTATTAAAATGATCTCGAACGTGAATACTGATTTTAGGGTTGGCATTAAGATATGTATATGAAATCAATTAACTTTATTCTCATAACTATTATCTTTACTAGATGCGACGCCATTTTGGAATATCGTGTATTACACAGAATTTTAATGGTCTCTATAATGATTTCATTGAGAAATGTTCTGTTTCTTTTTGCGATATGAAGCTGAACGTGTTAAACGTTCAATAGTTTGCCTGTTTTTTCCGTTGTTGTATACCTTGTTCACGTTTGAGAACGTGACATTACTTACTTGGATTATCCAATCAAAGGAAGTAATGTCACGTATTCAAACTATGTTAAAAACCGTTACGCATGGTTACAAGCGTCGAACACAAATTACTTCATTTTCCGATATTATTTGCTGTATACTTTGAGGTTTCATTTACCGGTGTGTAGTTCTATGACATTTCATATGATTCATTTTGCTGGGATTCGAGTAGGTGTAATCTACCTAATATTAGAGAGGTCAAACTTAGTTTCAGAGATCGCTTACTCAATATTAGAGAGGTCATGCGTGGTGTACGAGAACACTCACTCAGTATTAGAGAGGTCAAGCATGGTGTAAGAGAACACTCACTGAATATTAGAGAGGTCATGCATGGTGTAAGAGAACACTCACTGAATATTAGAAAGGTCATGCATGGTGTAAGAGAACGTTCACCTAGTATTAGAGAGGTCATACGTAATGGCAGGAAACGCTAACACAATATCAGTAAGGTCATGCATGATGTCAGAGACCGCTTACACAATATTAGAGGCCATACACGGTGTCATAGAACGCTAACACAATATTAGTGTGGTTATACACGGTGTCAGAGAACGCTTACACAATATTAGTGTGGTTATACACGGTGTCAGAGAACGCTTACACAATATTAGTGAGATAAATTATGGAAAACAGTACGCTTACGTAGTATAATCAGGCCATGCACGTACCAGTGAACGCTTATATTATATAAGATAGGTTATACACGATATGAGAGATAGCACCGTCAAATTTCAGCTGTATTGTTGATCACTAGAAGGAGTTCTATCTAAATGGATATATCATCCAACCTCTTTTTATCGCTATTATGCAGTAAATATGGTCTCTCAAAATGTAGCCATCTCATTCTGTATATCTAGATTTTTTTTCAAATATTAATGTTTATATTTGAAAATTATTTAATTACAGGGCGATTATCTGTGAAAATCCGACAAAATGTTCAAGCATTAGTTTGGAAATATGTAAGCCCAAAGGTAAGTAATAACAATCATTATTGTTCATGGTTATAATTTTTCAGATATTGGCATACATTGTTTTACATTTATCATATTTGTTATATACATCAAACACATACAGAGATGTATAAATGTATGAGACATTCGCACATACTGCCTTACATAAATAAGATGTAACAACCACCGACACATACAGAGAGGTATTAAATGTATGGGGCATTGGCACACAATATCTTACATTCATTAGATGTAATAGACATCAACACATACAGACTAGAGATGTATAAATGTATGGAATATTGGCACACACATCATACATTAATTAGATGTAACAGACACTGACACATATTGAGATGTATTGATATATGGGATATTGGCACACACATCATACATTAATTAGATGTAACAGACACTGACACATATTGAGATGTATTGATATATGGGACATTGGCACATACAATCTTACATTAATTAGATGTAATAGACACTGACATATACGGAGATGTATTAAATGTATGGGACATTGGCACACATTGACTTACATCAATTAGATGTAACAGACATCGACACATACAGACAGATATGTATTGTTGTATGGGACATTGGCACACATTGTCTTACTTTGATTAGATTATCAGATACCTGCACACATAGAATGGGAAGTAATTCAATATAATCCATATTTTCATCTCCCCCATTATTAATTAGAGTTTAATCTCCGCTGTTTTGAAAGTGTCAAGGATTAATTGATCATGCATACTTAGGTCTTTTCACAGATATACTGGACAAAATAAGTTAAGGATCATAAATTGTGACCATAATATCTTTAAAAATTCAAATCATGTATTGCCGGTAATTGCACTCGTAGTTTCTCCAATATGTACCTAAAGTCATGTCAAAGGTGAAAGCACGTGCATCTGAAGGTCTTGCCGTTCCGCTCTAGTTAACTATGGTGGTGTGAAAAACTGACTGGTCTATTACTACAGAGGAATCTTGCAGGTTTTGATTCTGTTACTTCTAAGCTAAAAAAAGTTGAATTTGGAAACATTTAATCAATTTGTAACGAAAACTTGAAAAACTAATCATGCGAAGACATTTAAATGATATGGAAGCCGCGCGAGCTATAGGGCTCCTTCAAGCTGGTCAAACTCAACGAAATGTGGCGGCACAGCTTCATGTTTCTTAGAGCGTGATTAGTAGGCTATGGAATCGCTATCAACAGACAAATAACGTCCGTCAACGCCCCAGATCTGGACGACCACGCTGTACGACAGCCCGACAGGACAGATTCATTTGCATCACGGCACGACGTCAGCGGTTTTTGAGTGCTCCTGTCTTGAATCTTCAGTTTCAGCGTGCTACAAATCTAAGGATTTCATCCCAGACAATCAGAAACAGACTCCATGCCTCTAATTTACGAGCTAGAAGACCAGCAGTCCGACCAATTTTATCCAGAGGTCATCGACAATCCAGACATCAATGGGCCACTCATCATTTGAATTGGCAATTACGTCATTGGAGAAATGTTATGTTCACAGATGAGTCTAGGTTTTGTGTTGACTTCCATGACGGTAGGAGGAGGGTATGGAGAACCCAAGGAGAGCGCTATGCAGACTGCTGTGTTGTCCAGCATGATCGCTTTGGTGGTGGGTCAGTGATGGTTTGGGCAGGGATCAGTGTTGACTTCCATACAAACCTCTACATCATAGACAATGGATCTTTAACAGCTGTTCGATACAGGGACGAGATTCTACACCCTATAGTAAGGCCCATTGCAGGAGTTGTTGGCCATGATTTTATTCTGATGGATGATAATGCTCGTCCTCACCGTGCTCGTGTGGTCAACGACTATCTTCAACGTGAAGCAATCGTTCGCATGGACTGGCCAAGTCGTTCTCCTGATCTGAACCCTATCGAGCATGCTTGGGACACCTTGCAACGCCGGGTTTCAGCTCGACCCAATCCGCCACGGAACCGCCAACAGCTTATGATTGCTCTGCAAGAGGAATGGCAGCGCATCCCACAGATCAGCCACCGACGACTAATAGCATGTGCAGACGTTGCAGGGCAGTTATTGATGTCAACGGAGGTCATACTGCCTATTAAACTGCCAATTGCAGTTTGATGAGTTTTCCTTGTCTACATGATTAACTTGCTCTACTTCCTCTTACACTTTGATTTCAAGGGTGCTGTTACTCAGGGTTATCTGCTCTTGGTAGCAATTACCACAAATGAATTTGTTTTGTGTAATTAAAGACTAAAATGAATGTTCTGTCATTAAAATTTAAAATATAATCATATTATTATTTGTATGTAAAACTGCACTGTTTCAAGTTTATGATCCTTAACTTATTTTGTTCAGTATATTATTAAACAGGACAACACTGATGTAACGTGTAGTTTAATAATATGGATTTGCTTACTAGATGCTGTATTAGATTGTAATTAACTCCAGTCAATCGCTCAGTGTTGCACAAAGACAAGCGTGTGTAATAAATTGTGTGGTGTAGACTGATTTTTGTAAAATAATTAATGAAAATGTGTCATGAATAGTTGTTTTATCAAAAATTAGATAATGTCAGGGTTTAAAAATATGGAAATCTAGAAGAGAATTTTAAAAAATGGCATGGTAAGTTAATGAAATCGGATAAGATTTGTTCACTTACATTTCAGGCTGGTACAATTCTTGAACGAGACAAGCATGAGTAAAACAAATCGAATTTTATATAAACTGCCAGTTTCCATTGTTTTAATTACCCAGAACTATATTATCAATCTATGTTCATTTCTATCACCTTAACGATCCATACTTCCGTGAAAATAACACATTCTACTTTTGTAGAAAAATAACATCATGGGGAATCAATAAGATATTGAAATTCAGCCTGCATATCTTCCAGCTCTATTAAAGGGAAGTGACATGTCTTACTATGTTCTTGTTAACATGACCGTTGTTATTCATATGTGAATCCGTTCATTTCCGTTGGAATTTATTTCTCACAAATTATTACAAATGATTCGTTCGATCAGTTCTGAAATGGAAAAGAATTGAGAGATTTCAAACGTATATACGTAAATTCTATTTTTGATATTTGTAGATAGCAGAACTGAGGTTCAACAGATCATTAACTGAATATTAGAATTAACCGGTATCAATTACATTGCAAATTTCTTTAGTAACGATAGACAAAGATGAATTCTAGTTCAATCTTTACTCAGCTAGTGATCGTATCAGATGAGAGAATTGCAACTTATTTATATAACGACCTTGTGCCTATTCCAAATAGATATTCATAGGACATTTCCGTATTTTGGACATAGCACTACTAGGACATGATGGCGAACCCGATGAAGTCAAAACAGTTTAAAACATATTTGAAACAACAACGTTTGCATGGGTTTTAATGATGTGTTGAAATATATTCTAATCCTGATTTTCTTAATATCGTTATCTTTTTTGCATACCTCACTTTAAGTTCGACATAACCATATCTCGTAAAAGTGTGTTGTAATTTTACTTTTTATTTGTAAGGGTGCAGACAATATTACAACGCAGATAAGAAAGGGATGGTACTAAGTCCAGGATTTCCTGTGAGGTATACTGACAGCTATAACTGTACATATGTAATCTACTCGTTAAACCAACATCAAGTGAGATTGCAGGTTAGTAGCTTAATTAGAATTTAAATAGAATTAATTACAAATTAAAACAAGACGTCATCTAGCACATGTTTATGTCATTTACATTATCACTCAACATGTTTGTTTAATGTAATACAACATGATAAATTGTCAGTTGACGTGGTCTATGCCTTTTGTTATTGACATGTTTTAGTATGATCGTTTCAGACAAATTAACTATAACTCTAGTTTGTTTTATAATTGTAAAAGTAATTGCTTCAATCAATTATCCTACTTGGCCACGACTTGCCTGTGCTGTGTGTCTGTGTATTTGTTGAAAATGTAAAGCACACAAAGTATATTTCCATCCATTCACTCAGGTGAGATGTGGATCGATACATGTTGCAAACGACTCTAAGATTTGTTGAGATTGTTTCTGTTCGGGAAACAGACAAATGTATATAATTCTATGTCCACTAAGAAACTGTGCTAGAAATATTGATTAAGATTTATTTACTTACCACCTTGTTGATAGCCAAAGAAACTTCTCCTTAATTACATTTCTGCTCTAACTTATCTTATACCTCTAAGTAAAGGTTTTCATAAATCGGGAACAGATATGAATAAATCTATTTTAATCTTAATTCAGAGATTCATTATCGATTAGTATGTAAATTCTTTTTGTCATTCATTCAGTCTTCAAATACTTCTCAAGATTGGGTCTGCTTGTCGACTTTATGGACCAAGCACGCAATTGTGAGAGTATATGGGCAGTTTGAGTATCTGCCTGCCTCCATCTAAGGAAACACTTGGTCTTAATCGTGACACAATTATATAGTTAGTTTTCACACATTTGTGATAAGTGATGACAGTGTTTCCTTTTCATTTATATATCTAAAGCTATACTCTAGATTAAACTGTTCCGCTCTCAATGTTATTCAATATCACTCTATGATTTACTGTTTGATTGATATGTCAGAGCTTTCATGTTTGTTGCACAATTCTTTTTGTTATCAAGATCTTGAAAATAAAATATCACGACAAGAAATTATATCGTGTACAGGGTTCCTGGATTTGACGATTTGAAATTCCTGCAGTTTTAGTATAATGCATTTAAGAGCAGTTTCATACAACTTTGTAAGGAAATAATCTGTTTTCGGAATGGAACAAATGTTATGACATTAAGGATCTTGATTGCAAGTTTTTGCATGGTTTCATTAAACATGTTGTTCAATTAAGGTTAGAGGTTTTAAAAAAGGCGCTGCGATTGGAAAGGTTTCATTGCGAATAGTGTTTTTTTCTGTTTATATCTATTTTCAGTTCAGGTCCTTTGATCTCGAACCTGCTTATGACAGCGAGTGCTTTGATTCTGTTGTGATTGAAACCAGGAACATTACGTCAACGATATGTGGTACAAGAAACAGCACCGGTCTCAATGATATGAATTTCTACTCCGATGATGGTATTTTATATCTGATATTTACGACAGATTACAAGGTGGTTGCCCGTGGATTTGATGCGTACTTCTACTCTCTAGACAAAGCAATAATCGGTGAGCTTATATCTCCACTGTTATGTACAAAGGCTGCTTTTCTGAGGAAGATGTCCTAGTACTCTCCTTGAAAGTCCCATATAAAATAATTTGTAATATGTGAGAAAAACCCTTAGGTATTAAAATAATTACGCAACATTAACATTGACATTTCAAAGCTGACATATTCACTGCACTGTAATAGTTGACATTTGTTTATGAAACTGAATTACATTAATGGGAAAGAGAGAAAAGCCGGATATCAGGTTTCATAAACAATAAGTACATTTTAATGCTTTCATGTGGCATTCATAGATTTACAAATGCCAACTTGACCATCTTGCGAAATGCATGGAATTTGCATTTGTTGAATTAGCATTCATAAGCCCATAATTACCAACTGAAAGCGGTTCTCTTCATCGCTTAAATGATTTAAACGCTACAGAAAATCATACAAAAATAATAAGATTAATTGTAACAAAATTAGTATTACAATCCACACATGGATATGTATTTATAATTTAACTACTTTCCGAAGTAAATCGTTGTTATTTTATGTCTGGGAACATAGATATTACTATTTCTATCACCGGCTATCAAATATTTACATTTCAAAAGAATGTTGATGATTTGTTTGGTTATTTCACTTTCGTAAAATCAAATAGGAAAATGCAGTTCATGGAACACCAAAATCAGCGTGTCACAATGGGATCCTATTTTGCTTTTATATACATTTTGCATTTTTTACATATCACAATTGAGTAAGTGCAAAACAAATATATCGACAATTAAATATTGTTGTCTTATTAATGTTTAAGCATCAGTATCAATGTAAGATTGCCTGGGTGCGGATTAATAGGGTCTTTCCCTAGCTTGAGTGTAGAACAGAGAAATCTTCACTGAGGAGAACATTCACTACTGTCCGACCAGAGGCTTTGCCGAAGAGGAGATTCACTACTGTCCGACCAGGGGCTTTGCCGAGAAGGAGATTCACTACTGTCCGACCAGAGGCTTTGCCGAGGAGGAGATTTACTACTGTCCGACCCGAGGCTTTGCCGAGGAGGAGATTCACCACTGTCTAACCCGAGGCATTGCAGAGGAGGAGATTCAAGACTATCCAACCAGAGGCTTTGCCGAGGAGGATATTCACTACTGTCCAACCCGGGGCTTTGCAGAAGAGGAGATTCACAACTGTCCAACCCGAGGCTTTGCAGAGGAGGAGATTCAAAACTGTCCAACCCGAGGCTTTGCAGAGGAGGAGATTCACAACTATCCAACCCGAGGCATTGCAAAGGAGGAGATTCAAGACTATCCAACCAGAGGCTTTGCAGAGGAGGATATTCACTACTGTCCAACCCGAGGTTTGCAGAGGAGGAGATTCACAACTGTCCAACCCGAGGCATCGCCGAGGAGGAGATTCAAAACTATCTATCTAGAGGCTTTGCTGAGGAGGAGATTGAAGGCTGTCCAACCCGAGGCTTTGCCGAGGAGGAGATTCACCACTGTCTAACCCGAGGCATTGCAGAGGAGGAGATTCAAGACTATCCAACCAGAGGCTTTGCAGAGGAGGATATTCACTACTGTCCAACCCGAGGTTTGCAGAGGAGGAGATTCACAACTGTCCAACCCGAGGCTTTGCAGAGGAGGAGATTCACAACTATCCAACCCGAGGCATTGCAAAGGAGGAGATTCAAGACTATCCAACCAGAGGCTTTGCAGAGGAGGATATTCACTACTGTCCAACCCGAGGTTTGCAGAGGAGGAGATTCACAACTGTCCAACCCGAGGCATCGCCGAGGAGGAGATTCAAAACTATCTATCTAGAGGCTTTGCTGAGGAGGAGATTGAAGGCTGTCCAACCCGAGGCTTTGCCGAGGAGGAGATTCACCACTGTCTAACCCGAGGCATTGCAGAGGAGGAGATTCAAGACTATCCAACCAGAGGCTTTGCAGAGGAGGATATTCACTACTGTCCAACCCGAGGTTTGCAGAGGAGGAGATTCACAACTGTCCAACCCGAGGCATCGCCGAGGAGGAGATTCAATACTGTCCAACCCGAGGCTTTGCAGAGGAGGAGAATCACAACTGTTCAACCAGAGCCTTTGCCGAGGAGGAGATTCAATACTGTCAAACCAGAAGCTTTGCCGAGGTTAGACTATCGAAAATGTCCTATCCTCAAGCTATGGAATGATCCTTTTTCTATCCCTTATCTCCAGTACACTATAAATAGAATAACGAGACATATATATGCTGACAAATAAGGAAACAAATTCAGGCAAATAACGACTTTTCTTTTTACCTTTACATTATATACTGTACCAAGACAATCGTAATAATGCATTTAGAATTGATTTGAAGAAACAAAGATGACCATATACTTAAACTGTCAACATAAATCAATAACTCCGGTTTAGCGCGTGTTTATGTTCTGTATTTGCAAGCTTTCTAACTCCGGCAAGATGGAATTATCTACCCGTCACCAGAGGTGGGGATATTTCTGTTCGTCGGGGTAGAAATATATATATAGATAAATGTGTGTGAGCGTTTATTATGTTATATTGAGCAAATTAAAAAAAAACACGATTTAAATATTTTTTTACTGTTTATTGCAGATGGTTGTAACTACGTAACGTCGAATCTAACCGGACACATACACAGTCCAAATTATCCGGATAAATATTTTCCGATGATGAAATGCGAAGTGAAGATAATGTTACCTTCCCGTTTTAGAATCTCGCTACATCTACAGCATCTCGATTTGGATAAATCGAGCAAGTTGGGAAAATGTTCTGGAGACGAGGACAATATTAAGATCATAAAGGAGGGTATGGACGACGAATTCAATAACTTGCAATTTTGTGGCAGCAAGATGGATTATAGTTCGGACCAGACGGTGATTCAGTCAAGCGGATCAATAGTTTCAGTGATATTTCAGTCCTATAGTTTACACGAGAGTAAAGGTTTTATGATGCAGTATAGCGCCGTCGAATCGTGCAAGAACGTCACGTACAACAGTGCAACCGGAATTTTCAGCAGTGTAAACTTTCCTGACAATTATCTGAATAATCAAAATTGTTTCATGATAATAAATCAAACAGAAAGTTCTAGAATTCTAGAGGTAAAATTTCAATACTTCTATACTGTTTCATATGAAAATGACGCGTGTTTGAACACAGGAAGTTGTAATGACGATTATGTGGAAATTGACAATGGTGACGTCGTAATGCGCATGTGCGGTCAGTGTACGAGGGATGGGGTGCCATTAATTATACATTCGACGTCAGGATTCATTTCGTTGAGATTTGTCACTAATAGTCATCAGACACGATCTGGTTACAGTGGTCGGTGGCGATTGGTGGACACATTACCGAACGTTGAACTCACCTGTCCGAACAAGTTAATTGATACCAAAGAACTTATATATGAAGTCATTTGGATGAAGAAACCGTGGTCCCAAGCCAATATTGATTGCGGCAAGCGTGGGGGTATCCTTGCATCCGTTTCTAACATATCTATACAACGGCTGCTTGAAAAATTACTGAAGGACAAGTACGTGTTGCTTAACTTTCATCATTTAAGCACTTTTTTTTTGTTTATTAGATGTTAAGTGCATCTTTCCAAATGTAAAATAATTTCGTCTTAGTATTATATGCTCAGTTAAATAAAAGAAACCACAAAAATACCTACTTGTTAACATTGAGAGGAAAACAAAATAAAGATTTACACAAATAATAAACCTAGCAAGGTGTGATAAAAGTAAGAAAAAGGGCCCAGAATGGTAAGCACATTCAGCTTCATAAGCTACCCTCGCCATCAAAAAGGCATGGGGTCAGGAATGTAGAATATTACATGTTTCGTACTTCACTGAAAAAACAAAAAATGCGAAATTGCAAAATTAAATCTTTCCACGATATAACTTTATGAGTTATGTGATAAAAACATTTTAAATTTGTTTTAATTTCATATGTCATTTTATGAAACTCGTCTGGAAATTTTCACTTTTGCTTGCCAAGCCTCGCAAAATAAAATTTTCTGTAGCTCGTTTCATAAAAGCTTAATCTTCAGGAACACCTGGTCTTATTCTCCTTGTACTTTTACAAGAGTGTAAATCTTTCTATTGATAATATTTTGCCCTATTTTTAATGAATTTGAATTGGGATAATGATATTGTTGACATGCTGTATTTCCTTGTTTTTGTTTAAGATCTTATATTTACCTTATATCATATTTCTATGGAGTCCAATTCTAATTATTTTAAAGCAGTGCAATATCATTTGATCATTTAAAGCGTAAACTGCAGTCAAGAGATGCCATCATTTTGGATCGGTGCCAGCGATCGTATATTTGAAGGAGACTATTATTGGGCTGACCTATCACGACTTAACTTTACATGTAAGTAAACGGGTTTTTTTCATTAGGTTACTTTCATGTAACAATACAGTTTGGTAGTATTAAAGTGAGTCGAGACAGTAAGTGGACGTTTCACATTAACTAGACTGAGCCCAATAAATTACTCCTCGGTCTAGCCTGGAGTGCGCAGCTGTCGGGTATCACAAGAAACCTGAGTATGAAATTTTATCTACACAGAGTTGATCCGTAAAAATAATCCCGGATGGTTAACTAAACATTTCTCCTGGACCGACTTTATCATGTATGACATTTTTCGAAAACCTGCAAACGGTTCTTTATCATGCGAGTTCCCGCACCGAACACCTTTTAAGTCCAATCCGACGAACTGTGTGTAAGTAGTTGTTTGTTTGTAAGGTGCTGTGCTGATAAATGTTTGTAGTTCACATGCAAGTCTTCTCTCCATACTGTCTGCCACGGTAAATTGTTAACAATGTCTATGCTTAGTTTGTAAATCTACACCGATTCTGCCATCAAGTCATCTACGATTTGTGATTGTGAGGTAAGTATTGGGAGGGGTTGGAAATGTTAGGGGTTTCTAAGTACTTAATGAAATATGCTTCATATCTATTGACCGAATGGCGGCTATTTTGATAATTTTGGTGTTGAATATCAAAGAGTAGGAGTGACAGGAAAGAAGAGAAGTTGGTAAGATGTGCGGGTATGAGGGAGAGGGAGGGATATATATATATATATATATATATATAGGATTGGGGTAATATTTCCGTTAGGGGTGTCTGTCCTCTTCCTTCTATGGGTGTGTTATTACATTTGTTTTATGTGATAATACAATTGCAATTCTTCTCTAAAGATGGTAAATGAGTGCAGCCGACGAGGAAAAAACCTGTAAAATTCACTTATAACTACGTTAGGACCTATGTGGGTGTAATTGTTGTGTGGTTCACGCAAAGGGCACTGTTTTACCTTTACAATGCCCCTTTTAAGGGCATAGTATCTCCTATCTTGAGCCGTATTAGTATGACAATATGGTGGTATTGTACAAAATACCTATATGATTGCTCAAATATTGCACCAGGTTCAAATTATAAGAGAAAGTGGAACCCTACTGTGTCCCTACAGCACCCTAGATAAAAGCCAAAAATCATTCTGTTACCAAATGATGTGGAGGATTGACGTAAACTTATTTATGTGGACAGCTTCGTCAGCGTATTTGTCGTATGTAAACTATTTTAACAGATGTAAATGTGGGGGACTGGGGCCCAGAATAGGACAACTGAGACCACCTGAAGTGTCCGTAAGAACCGATTTTAGGGACGATAATTTTTGTTGATTTAGAGTCCGTAACTATCTACTACACTATAAATACTTTAAATACTATCTTTAATTGCAAATATTCAGCCAATTCGAAAGTACATGGCAAAAAGCATATTTTCCTTTTTTTTCCCAAGACCACGAAACCTGAAACACTTGGGACCTTTGAGAATATGAAGACGTGTTATAAATACATTTTAAATTATGTGGTTAAATTGTTTTTAAAATCCATAAATCCATGGACGGAAAATTGAATTTCGGAAACCTTTTGGATAATTATTACGTAATATAACATTAGGAAAACATGCATAGCTAAAACAAAAATACTAAGTCATTTTTCTGTTAGTGTGACAGATTTCTATAACCATCTGTGCTACATCGCCTTGAAAATGACTAATAAAAAAGAAAAGAAATAATAAACGAACAAATATCTAAATTAATGTCTCAATTGTAGATTGGTTTGAAGGATGGCCTGATTACGGATTCGACATCAATCAACCAAGTGATGATGGATTATCTGACGAAGATTGTGTTGAAATTAGAAACAGTTTTCCACTGCCTGTAAAGGGGACGAGAGCCACAAGTTCATATTACTGGAATGACAGAAATTGTCTGGTTAAAAATTCATACATTTGTCAACGATCGAAACAAGAGGGTAATATTGCTATTTGGCATATACATGTTGTCATCTAAGGTAAAATTGTAATGATAGTATTACAAATATCTCATTCGTAGGAAAAAGGAAGGACTTTCACATGAAATTGTATGTATAATGGAAGATATATAAACATTTTTTCTTAATTAATGATGGCGATATATATTTAGATTAATACTTTTTTTCGTATGGGGACACAATCGTTCTCTGAGCGGATATCAGAACGATTTTAACTAGAACCTGGTTATACAGATATAAAGGCATTAGGCCCTTAATTTCACTGACGAGTCATTAAACAACAAATCAGGTACATAGTGCAGTTTCACTCAAAATGTTGCATAAATGTAGCGAATCTTATTCAAAATATGCATCTTGTTCACTTGTGTGTCTTTTGTAAAAGAAATTCTTTGCATAGCAAAATATTGACGTTATGATAGATGGACATACTTTTTCTTTCGACGTATTGGAGGCACAGCTTTGTTTTTGGTTTGTATGTACTTTATTTTTATAATGGTTTTGAAGGAATATTTGCCATTATTTTTCATTTTAGTAACTAAGCCTGCTACATGGAACCAATTGATAACATCAAGAGTGATAGACGTAGACATGGATAGCCAGGAAAAAGTAATCATAAACAGCCCGCACTTTCCTGGAAATTACACTGACTTCACAGACATCATACATCATATTTCAAGCTCCAATCCATTTCATCGCTTACATGTCCATTTCGAAGCGTTTGACCTAGAAACATCTGATAGGTAAGTAAAGCTGAATATAATAATGGCACGATTGAATAGACCTCTCCCGATGTGTCACCTTTTTCATGCATTATTCATTATTTGATTGTACCTTGTCTAATTCCGAATTTGTTTTTGGAAGGTGAAATCATCTTAGTTATTTTGTACCAATCCCTGTAGGATTAATTTAGTGCGAACTTGTGTCAAATAAAGTCACGGTGTATACAGAAAAGGAAAAATCTGAAGATACTTGCATAATACTAAGGGAAGTATCGAGTGATCAATAGTTACACAATGTGAGCGCAAACTCGAAATGTCAGGAGATTAAAAGTCTATCAGATAACACAGGATTATTTACTGGAAGAATTTCGGTCTTTATCAATAGGATGGAACGTAATTTGATGTTTTCAGCCTGAATGTGACATCAACTTATCTACATTAAATAAATAACTTCAATAGCACCAACATATTTGCAAAACATTAATAGTGTTGAATTTAAACTATTCCTTCCCCTTGACTCATAAATAAAAGTCGATATTCAGTCCATTGTTTTTTTTTATTATTGTTCTGACGATTTATTTCAATAAAAAACGTTCATTACACCTTTCTGTCTTTAAGTCCTGTGGAAGGAAAAAAAGGTGTTTTTTTCGGAAAATTACGATAGCATAAACAATTTTTTTTTCAGCATTTCTAGATTTGGGTAGAAGTAGGCAATGTGTATCACGATAATATTTCGTTCTAATATGACTGCATAGGAATCAAACAAGATAAAGGATACATTTTGACTTCATACGAAAGTGTAAGTCATATGCCTCTCTTGGTTCAAACAAGAATGAAGGAAACCTCATAAATATCAGTCTATAAACCGACAATTGCCTTTTTCTAACAAAAAAAAAAAAAATAAATAAAGAACAAAATCGATATTTCTTATGTGATGACCTACGAAAAAGTGAATATGTATACAAATATACCTATATCCTTTTTTAGGATTTCCTGTTTCATGTAAAACTATTAAATGTGTTACACAACTCTATATTGTGTTCCCACAAAAACATCAGCAACATGCCTATCCCAGTTCAAAGAAGTCTAATTGAATTCTTACCATATATTCAATAGCGTCGATGATAACGGAGTTGTAGTGATTTTTTTTTTCGTTTATTTACGTCAGTAGCACGTCACTGTCAGGTACCTGAAAGCTGTAGGGAGTTGCGCTTCTGTATTTAATATGACTACCGTATTATCACATTGTACTTATATTGATATAATTAAGGTGTAAATCTATCTCATTTGTCTATATGACATTCAGTGAACAAGATATCAACAAGCTATATTTGTCAGCAATTTAATACTGCCATAAGGTTGCACTTATCATGTCAGTTAACTGTTCCCACTTGTTTTCTAGTGATGTAATAATTTGTGTCTAGTGTATTAAATCTAGGCTGAGTTATGTTCTTCAATATATCTATAATCTTCATTTGTCCTTCAGCAATCAAATTTATACTTACATTTACTGTATTTATTGATAGAATTATCATTAGTGTCACTTTTATAAAGTTCTTTTTCAATTGGCAACATTTCAAAATGATTTATCTTTGTTATGTTTTCCAGTTAATGAGAATAAAATAAGATTCTCGTCGATAATACCAACAAAGAACCATACAAATATTCCCGTTTTATCAAGAGATAAAACATTTACTTTAGTAAACCTTTACCTACCTCCTAAACACAATCATTTTATATCCGAAGCAACCATTCCAAATTTTGGCTGTGTTCTGTATTATAATTCAATGTCAAATTCATAATTTCAAAGTAATTCGGCGAGTTCTGTCTATGAATCTGAATATAATAAGATGTAATGGACGGTAAAACGTTAGCAATCGTTATTTAGGAAGCTAAGAAATGGGACACTTTGTACTGACATGGTTGTTTCCATTGGCAAGATACTTTAACTCTTTGTGCTGCAGGGTATGCGACGGGCCTCTCGTATCTTCTTCAATAAAATAGCCACCAGTTGATACCACGAGACTCCCACCTCATAATGACTGCCTTTTTACATGGCGATAGGCCCATTAGACAATAATACTGAATGCGTAGTGAAACAAGACATTTAAGCGATGTTAGTATGTAATCTAGCCGAGAATTAAATTCATAAAAAAAAGCCAGCAATAAACATGACAATTATTCAATATGGAAATTCTCTCTCCAACGGGAGTACCTCTATACAGCTCTTTATTGTTCCTCATAGATAAACCGTTTAATTGGAATTCCATTTAATGCCTGTAATGCTAGACAGCAGATTGTTCTTAAGTACATAGTATACAATTCAAATGAAATGTTAGCATTTCCTTTTTATACTTGCTGCGGTTTTATTGACGCGGTTTCAGGTTATAACTTACGATGATCTAATTCCTTATTTGACTCTACTGCTGCGAATTCTAAAATGGTATTGACATGTGTGTCATTAATACATTCTTCGAGATTGCAGTTAAAGCATACAGCTGTTGGGCGTCTGGTCCTCGAAGTTAACCGTCACCAGCATGCCAGGTTTTAATTCATTTGAATGGTTCAGAATATACGCATATACTTGGCATGCTTCAAAATTATCAGATCTTACTCAAATGTATTGATTATTGAGGCAAGTGCACATTCCCATTTAGGTAATAATATATCTTTTCAACAATTTAGAATTTCTCTATTCGCCTACTAGGCTTCAAACTTCAGGACCTTAGTATTACTGACGACTCCTAGAAAGACACAACAGTTGTATGATGCATTTTAATTCATTACTTCGCTCTACTGTGTCTATTTCTCCTGATTCAATAATCGTATTGAAAGCCTAAATCACTTGTGTGTCTATTGCACAATCTTATAATCATTCAGGCAGTGTATGCTTTTCAGCATAATGTTTTCCAATAAATATCTAGATGGTTAAAACTTTTCATCGTAGAAAAGCCTTAAATCTCTAATACTGGGCGTAATTGCGGTTTTGTTTTACATTGTTTTGCGTCATCGCAACAGTCATGGTCATATAATAACGATAAGATACCACATCATGGCGAAATAATTTGATAATTTGTGTGTTTATATATAATTGAATTTTCTAGTTTAAAATGTGTGTTATTAAGGCATAAGGCTAAATAGGTTCAGCTGTAATGTGTTTAAACGAATAATTCTATTAATTCAATGAAATTTACACTATATACACGTAGGACAGCTCAGAGGTTATATAACAGGATGGACATGTGATTCTATTGATGATATTTCTGTTTATTGACGATTCAATATGAAATGATATGACAGAACATATGTCGGAACATCTGACAGTACCACCATTATTATCGTTATGTAACCTACATTGTCAAGATAAGTCTTTCAGTGTCATCTGCAACACACGGGTCATCTGATATATTGGTGGAATAGGTTGAAAGGGTACAAGACTTATGTTATTAGTCTGTTAGGCTTGATCTAAACAAGAGGAAGCAATAAGCTTATGATCTATAATCTAGCTCATAGTTCCGGTGTGAACATATATTGTTGGCATCCACTTTAGGCCCTTCAAGGTCTCACATGTAATATCTACGAAACTGGTCTATGTTCATGCTGTTACATTTGTGAATACGTTGAGAGTTTATTTCAATATTTAGCATTTTTACATCGCAATTACTGGTAATTAATGAGCTGAAACAAAGTAGGCAATTAAATACGAAAGTTTTAGTGAATCTAACACCCCAGGAAAAGGAACGCATTAACTAGATATTTCACTTTCATAATACAGTCGAACCTCGTTATCTTGAAGACGGCGGGACCGTGAGTATTCGATTTAAGCGACTTCGAATGGTGTGATGTTTGGTCGGGACCGAGGAATTATTTCGAATTAAAGATTGTTTTTGAGTTATTCGAGATAACGATGGTAGGCGGTAATCTCATGTAATGCTGTTTCGGAGGGAAAGCTTCCAAGAGTTATTGATTCAACTGTACTAACAACCTTATATCGAAAGATATTTTGTCTGGCATTGTTCACATATGATCAGCAGCGAAAGTGTATGCATAATATTGTATTAAGGTATGCTTAACCTTTTCACAATACCTGTACTAATTAACGCATACGTAACACTTTTTTATTGATAGGTGCATTTACGACAACTTAACCCTGAGCAGTTTCTCTAACACGTTCCCGGATATTGTGCGATGTGGTGATTGGAATCCGAAGATTAAATTAATTGATTGGACGTCAAAAAGCAACCTCGCAGATCTTCAATTCAGGACCGATAACTCGGTGTCAGCATCGGGTTTCAAACTCTCGGTCATCGCCCGCGAAGGTAATCGTTGTATTGATATATACATAGTTAGATTTTTATGTTTCCGCGCTGCGAGACTCAAATAAATCTTCAACAAATTATCCGATTGAATTACCAGTCGTCGAGGTTTTAAACCATACGCCAGAGCCATCGTTTTTTTTCTTATCTCTGGTTGCGACATGTGGTTTGCAGCGTATGACGTTAAAGAGGGGATTTTTCATTCATATTTCTTCCCGGCTGTGATCAGACGGCATTTAAACTGGTTTAGTATCTCTAGTGTAACTACTAAATCTGGTAATGAATTCACATGCTGTGGAAAACAGTCTTTAGCCGTCCTTTTTAAGTCCTCCGTCATCGGATGGTGGGATATTCAAATCGCCCATTGTCTGCCGTCCGTCCTAACACCCTATCGTCCTTCCGTTTACGATTTTCGTTATGGCCATTTCTTGAGATGTACAGGATGGGTTTCTCTCAAATTTCTTTTTTATGTAGGTTCCTTGTGGTCCTTAGTTGTGCCCCTTTTATTTTTTGCCTGATCAGGAAAACAAAATGACCTACAGGAGGCCATCTTGGATTTTGTCAATGAATGTTTGTCATCGCTATTTCTGAAGAAGTACTTGAGATGGATCTGTCTCAAACCTGTATATATTCTACAGGAGAGATCAGACACTCTGACAATATTTAAGTTGTTTTCGGTTTTAATTAACTCATATCCTATAAAACTAGGGCAAAATATGACCAAAATATGAGTTTGTTGAAGACACTTAGTACGCAAATTGTGCAAAATGGGAAGAGACACTTAAATATCGAATCAAATGTGACATGTAAATACCATAGGTTGATGCAGGAATGTTGCTTTCCAGAAATGGAATATTCACAATTGGGAAATTGAAATAGACTGTGAAAGACCTTACTAACATATAAATTGAGTTGATGAAGAATATATATGGTGTTTATCAGGGACCTTTATGCACAGTCGGTTGTTTTCTGTATTCTTTTCTTTCCACCAACCAGCTTAAATCACTGACACTGGCTTATTTACACACAAGTTCTGCTGATTGACAGACTGGTTCCTTTATGAACTATTTATGTTATTTTAGATCCAGGATGCAGGGAGGCTTTCAATGATAAATATCATAAAATGGTCGGAGATCCCAAGATCATGTTAATATCACACGATCACCTCTGCTATCTTATCCTGCCACGTGCGACTGAATCGTATCAAAATGCTGGACGGACATGCGCAGGGTACAATGCATCGTTGTTCTATCAAACTACACAGGATCAATGCAGTATGCTAACTAAAGCAATACGAAGTATTTACTCAGGCAAGTCATAATATGTTTGCTTTTTCCACGGAGAGTTATGGCAAAATCTTAGTTCCTAGGAAGTGAAAATAGTGCCCAATTCCATTCAACATGAAGATTTTACTTACCTGTCAATGAAAACCGTTATGCCATGACTTCGACAAACTGAGGTACAATAGCCGTAGCGAATTGTCTGGTTCCTGACTCTCGTTTGTAGCAATTTTCTATCGCCTGAATCATAGCTTTTTTCTTAACGTCACTGGTCCCTCCACCCATCAAAAAAAAAAAATAAATAAAAAAATCTGTAACTGAGAGTATTGCTCATGATATACCATTTTCCCTTTATCAAATTTCGTTTGTATGGTACAAAAGACGCGTAATGAAATCGTCTTTGCTCTTTCATATCACGAACAAGCAAAATTCAATTTCATTATCCGAAAATAAGGGATAGTTGTGATAGGATCAAGTATATTGGTAAACTCATATTTAATCAATGTACCCGCTGTACAATTTCATAGCACAATATAATATTTACTTATCATTGTTTATTTTAATCAAACATTCAAATACATTTCTATGGCAGTTCCATCCATTAGAATTATTTCCCTTTCTTGTGTTGCCACGACATCATTTCCACTTGAGTTGTTTGGTTGTTAAGAAGAATGCCTGAAATTTTGCTCAAACAAAGTGGTTAGTCTTCGGTTCATTAAACACACACTCAGCATTTTCTTTCTGATTAAAATAATTTGCTGATAAAACCAAATATTTTTCAGCTTTTCCCGTCTAATAGTTTCTGAATTGTGCGAATTCTGACCCCTGAAAAGTATTACATGTATAAACACACTTGGAGATCTGAAAGGATAAACGTGTTGTTGTTTATCAGTGGCAGTGAAAACGAGATCAAATTTGAATTGTAATCGGAAAGTGAGAAAAACTTTTATGGTGTAAATACAATTATAAATGCATTATTCACTTTAATGAGAATAATACTAAACTCGATATTATTAACATATAGAAAGCTCTCGGTGAGATCATATTGGTGAACAAATCTTGTTTATGATTTTCATTAAGCTGCATTTGTTTAAATCCTTTGTGATAAGTTTGTTTGTCAGCAGTTGTCAACTTTCAAGGATTGCTACAATCAAGAAAGAGAAAGTTCGTGGTATGAAAGTCGAAATAATCATGCTTATCTTAAAGATTAGAAGTAAGACTTCCCTGTTATTATAGTAAGTAAAGATCGAGGTAAGTGGCTTATGGAGACAAGTTTGTAGTGTCGTCTCTACAAGTTTGATATGTGGTGGGTTTCACGACTTGAATATTCATAAAAAAACACACACTGTGTCGATTATTATCATCAAATTATTATAGTAAAAGATCTTTTAATGGCGAGTCATAACACTATTTAAACAAAGATCGGATTTATTTTTTCTCTCGAAGTATGGAAACTTATTTTATCACAATACTGCATGGATGCAAGCGATATTCAGTGAAAATCACGGGATTGAAATAATCGATGTTAAAATGGTAATATCGTTTATCCAGCTTCTTTGAGTTTCTAAGTGACTGGTTTAAGTCAAAAGTGTGACAAGTGAGGCATTGATGATTACATCGATAAAGATTGTGTAAATTTGTCACAATTAGCAGTAAAATACTTGTTTGTCTTCCATAGATTACAGCCAAGACTATATCAGTATTTGGACAGGCGGGGAGACTAAGAAAAATGGTAAGACTTTTAATATATAATGTCAGAAAATCCCTTTACACACTCCCTGTACAACATGTTGACAAAGACCATAAGTTTATTAAAGAGGAGCCATCTGCAGTTTATATGAACAGGTACCAGAAAACGGTAAAGAAGAATGTACGTTGATTTAAAGACAGGATTTAATTTCAATTGTAAAAAGGCTAAACTGCTTTCTGCAAACAAATGTTCAAATATTTAAAGCGTGATTTAATTTTCCATGACAGTGTCCGTCTGTGAAATGCGCAATATTCGACTCTCTGGATTAGAATGCTTTGAGGTAGACGATGTCTTAAACTCTGTTGATTGTCACATTCCTCGTCCATTCGTATGTGTAAAAGAGCATCATGCAAAAGACGACGATAAAGGTAATATATGTTTCTGTACTTTGCTTGATTAACATATAACATAAAATATATTGGTTCTTTGATAAACAGAACGTGCAATGCACGTTTTTGGCTTTCACTCAGACTCCTTTTGACACATAGTAAGACATTTGATTTTTTTAATTCGACACACATGTATTACATGTTTCAATGTTACGCGGGCCATGTCACATAACGTCTACATATAATGGTTTGTACAGACGTAAAAATTAGTACAATGATATCTTTTCAATGGATACTAGTAGAATAATTCGAGTAGACATTCCGGAAGTTTAGTTCAACGATTTAGGATTTTAGGTTTTGATTCATTTTTTTCATATTCATATTTTTATTTCATTAGTACTGTGAACTGTGAAAGAATATTAATTTGCATAAGAGATTGTGGGGTTTACTGTATTTCTTTAGGTCAAAGGGAGTTGCATTTAAAAAAGATGCAACGTCAGGTCCACTGAAAAGTACAATCAAGGTTTATCTAAAGCAAACTGGTTGATTTACCTTTGAATGAGAGTAATGAGCACGTAGTTTATATCATTGACAAATTACACCACTCATTTAATGTTTAAATGGTATGAAATACGTGATCATCGAAAGATATTCTTTTGAAAAAAATCATTTTTCATTAGTATATTAAATATGTTTAACTTGCATTACCAAAACAACAGTGCATTACATAAATGATATATGAATAAGTACATTGGATGATTCTCTATTTATCTGTACAAAACTTATTCGAAAATAAGTTTCACATTCAGAAGTTAAAAAGTTGTATTTCTTTTCTTTATAGACACGAATCACATCCAGAAAGTAGTTCTGCGAACTCCAGGTGGTCAAATAAAATGGCCTCCTAAGAGTACTGGTCATTTGTATGGCAACAATCTTCATAAAGAATATGAAATACATGCTACGGATGGTCACCGAGTCTTCATCACTGTAGAATATCTGGAAATTGAATACCAACAGGAATGCTTATATGATTATTTGAGCTTGACCGAAATTGTTAGTAATAGTGCTGTTTTATGTGGAAACACAAGCACTATCCATAAAAGTTATTTTCTTTCCACAAAACAACAAATCAATATATTATTTCACACTGATTCCTCGATCGGCGATAAGGGTTTTGAAATATCTTGGAAATGGATAGACAGTCGAGAAGGTATACAGATTATACCTGTAAATAATGAAAGTTATAGCGGAAGTTCTTCAAGCATCAATTACCCCCTACCTTATCCTGACGTGGTGCGGTACTGCAAGTCTCTAAAATTGCCAAGTCAATTTAGAATTATCTTAACTTTCAAATTCATTAACGTTTTAGAAAACAACAAATCGGATCCTGCTTTCGTTTTTTACACTCAGGACCAGGAATTAGTTTTGCCTTACAAATTAAACGCTACATTTCCTGCAAGTCAGCGCACATTTATATCCGAAAGAAACCACTTACGATTGTGTTTACATGTTGATTCAATCGAAGAAAATGGAGGGTTTTCAGCAACTTACACCAGATGTAAGTATTTACAGAGCAAATTGGAAAAGTTGTTATACCAATGGTTTAAATTTTGGCAATTTTACTAAAATCCTCTTTAAAGTGGATGTATTTTTTTTAAAGATGATGAAAGTTTCCCTATATTTTTTTTATTTTGAATGTAATTAGCATTTCTATCTACACTCCAAAACAAATATCTTAAAAATAATAGTTATAACGTCATCAAATGAATATTAAACTTACTCTTACGCTATGAATTTGATTTTACAGCTAGTGATAAAACACTTCGGATATCTGAAAGTATGAAGATCACACCAAAACTGCAAAATTTCGAAGCTATTCAGAGTATTCATTTCCCCAACGATGCACCAAGCAACCACGAGCATATTATCTATTTGACAACGGACATCGGATACAACATAGTGCTAGAGTTTACAAATATTTCCCTTGTTGATAGCCTGCGGTCTTCTGCGTATCTAGAAGTAACAGACACGTCTTTAGGGAATGGTTATGATAAGAATATCATTAACATGACAATTGATTCAACATTCCAAAGGCTTCCTGTTGTGCGATCTCATTTAAATTCCGTGCAGGTGATATTTGTAACGGGATATGGAACTGAAAAACATTGCTTGTTTCAGGCTAAATACTCATCTTTAAGAGGTACGTGCTTAATTACAGAAAAAAATGAAATTGAATTGCAAAAGATGAAAAGAACAAGCTAGAAAGAAATAAAAACACAATAAAGAAATTGAAAGAAAAAAATAAAATAAAGTTGAATAATAATGAAAGAAAATCATAGTTTTGACAATACCAAAACGCCAATAATCATGTGATGACGACTTCTAATTAGAAAAAAAATAAATACGTGAAGTAACCTTTAATGTAGCATATAATTTCTATTTTTATTTTATATTCCTATTTTATAATTTGAAATAATATATTTTAATATGATAACATCTTGGTTAGAATAAACAAGGTTTATTTTCAATTTCAGATGATGATTACTTAGAAAAGACAAAACACATCACGAATGGATCATTAAATTATTGTGATAATGTAACTTGCATAAATGGCGGAGGCTGTGTCCAACTAAAGAACAGCAGATACACTTGTGAGTGCGGAGCGAATAGAACAGGTAAACGACATTGTTATAAACCAAATGGGGCAAAAGGAATGAAAAAGCTCCTGATGCTGTAATAATTACCATTATAATGAAAATTTTAACGGCCGGTCAACACATAAAAGGTCATTAGGGCCATCAACCGGTCAAACACACAGCCGTCCAGAAAGGAAATAACATTAACAAACCAAAAGGTAAAAGACAAATGCTAAGAATCTGAAAATGGGTATACTATCACAAAAGATTAAAATGGTAAGTCATAGTTTGTTATATAGACCGGCAGCTTGCAGATAACCTAGAATTTTACAACTCTCAAAACGGTCTTTAGTCTTGTCCCGTTACGATAAAGTAAGTGAACTGTAACTAAATTAGGGCTAAACTTGAATCTTATCCTTACACAACTTCATAATAAGTAACATTTTAATACCTGTACATTAAAGATGGCGTGGTGGAAATAAATTTATGATAAACTGATTGAATGTTGGAAAGATAAAATGACGGCTAAAGACAACAACATGTGCCCTAACAATTCCATTGCGGGCGCATAAAAATCGCATGAATTTTTATAAGAAATATACTGTCATGTTTTTGTAAAACATTTCTACATTCATTATAGGTTTGTTTTGCCAAACATTCCTTTGTGACCTGTTCCCCTGTGTACAAGGGAGGTGCAGTGTACGGAATGGTGGTCCTACATGTGAATGTGAATCCGACATTTGGGGCAAGTGTTGTAACATGACGTTTGTCCAGTGTAATGAATATCAATGCCAAGGCCACGGAGTCTGCGCAGAATCTCAAAATGACCCGATGTGTATTTGTTCTGGACAATGGACAGGTAGAGTGTTTTAATGTTTTTGTCATCGAAGTATCCATGTAAATTTGGCTACAAAATGCAAACATAAGGCCGTGCTTATAAAACCGGAGGTAGACGACGTGTCTTTGGAGGATGAACACATCTCAGATAAAAGTCCAAAATCTTTGATCACCTTGCAAATATTATTACATTACATCAACGTCATGGAACATACTGTTTTAATCAAATTTCTGTGTAGATATGTGAATAGAGTACAGATGCAAAAGATACTAGTCAAACAAGCATGTAAAAGATGAAGAACGAAAGAATCAAAACTGACTTATATATTTCTACACAATTATAACAACTTTTCAGGAGCATTATAAAGATTCTAATAATTTTATCATAAAGGTGATGATTGTTCTGTGAAGATACCGGAACAGAAAGAGACGATTGCAGCTGGTGAGAAACTGTTGAATGAACCTATATGGATAGGCATGATCGTCGTTCTTAATCTTGTGTTTGCTTTCACATCCATGTTCATCGTACGGCGCAGATGCGAGAAGAAATTTAAATGCTGCAAGGAAACAAAGTCTTCTGAAGATAGCTCAGGTATGTAATCAAACGGATACGTGGTGATTGTAATAATGTAACAATATGTAACATATTCAACGAATTTTCAGGTTTGAACAGATATTGATTTTATTATGCTTACTACAGATTAGAATGTTTTATAAAAATAAGAGACTAACTGAAAGGAATGCGTTTAGTGCATACTTCAGTTTATAATTATCCTTTAAAATCACGGGATTTGCCGGATTACAATGCATTTTTAATCATGATTTCGTGTAAGAGGAAATCAAGTCATTCATATGTTTATTACAGACAAAGCAGGTCGTGGTGTACATACAGAGAATAACTATCCATGCCTTGGAGACATGTACAAACACTATCGGTACAAGGACGACAAAGATGCATCTCTGGACGACAAGGAAGTATGACCCATTTACATTAATACCATCTGTTAAACTACTTCAACTAGGGTTGATCAAAATTTGGCATTGTTTAAAATATATGTTTTTGATTTCAGTCTTTTGGCAAACATGATTGCCAAAATTAACTAAATCATATGATAAGTGCACATGATATTTGCGGTCTTTGTAATCAAGTTTCTCCTTACTAATTATGTTTGCGTTGAATTTTGACAAAATCAATCTCAGGAATGGCATAATCGTTCGAATGGAATTAATTAGAGACATTGACACAAAAGCATTATTTCCATTTTGAAATGATAATAAAAAATTTGCTGTCAAAGTCTTTGACTGAAACGAAAAACAGATCACAATTATTGTAATATTACAATAAAATTAAAGCATATAAATTTGCCTATTTGAATTTGAATACGGGTCTCGCACTTCCAAAACACTAAAAATTTCTTTATTTTACTATCAGGGAGAGGAGGACAGTAAAGAAATTGAGTCACCAGATATAAATTTCAGTAATCATAGAGCAGCAGCCAAATTATTTGCATCATACAACAACCGACAGCCAGATCTCACTGTACCTGTCCTCGAGAAGCATCCAAACATGCTTGAAAAGAATTCAGAGGACTGTGTCGGGGGGATGAAGGGCGGAACCATCAACTTTTGTCCTAACTATGATATGGACATGCATTGTGATGACATCAGTGAAAACGAAATTGCTGAAGCATGCCTTGACGCTGCAGTCCCTATTCTCAAAATTTCGGAAATAGGAATGTCTTCCCTGGAAAAGGACTACCTCTGCACTTTCGAGAACAGGTCATGGAAAATTGGTAGTAAAGACTCTCCTCAAACAAATCAGCATTGTTATCCTAAAATTGTTGTGGTTGATTCAACTCCGCCACATTTTCTTGATTCTCCTGTTCTTCGTCGATCAGGATTAGAAATGTCTTGCCAACCTCCTATGGAGAAGCATACACCTTTCAGACTTTTGGATGCCGAAAGCAAACGACAACGTTTCGCTTCGAAGTTATGGGTTGAAAAACCGCTATTTAACACAGATAGTCTATCTGGGCATCATTCGCCGAAATCCACTTTATACAGCAGCTCTGAATTGCCCGATGTCCGTTCTGATGTATCGATCTCAGAATCTCATGGCTTCGCACCACTCGATTGCAGTCAATTAAGTAAAATAGCACGTGATCAACAAGTACGATCACGATGCATGGCCTCACGTGAAGAGAGGTATGATACTGGAACATCAGAATATGCTTCAAACCATATGAGTACGGAGAAGCAGCGAAAGAATAATCCTAAAGAAGAGGGGTTAAACGATTCAAAAGGCGGGACACCAGGGAGGAAAATGAGAGCAGGTCGTATGAAGCGTCGAAAGAAAGGCCATTCTATTGAAATAGGTGCAGTCAAATATCACACTTCACCTAAGACAAAAACAAGCAGTGATTCAAATTTGGAACATCGTTCGAAATCAAAACACAGATGGACACGCAAAAAGCAGAAACAGGAGCAATGCCAAAGCATCCAAAGAATGTTAGAATCGTCATTAATTGATGATACTGGTCCTAATACAGCTTCGAAAATGTCTGTGCGTAAATCTCGAAGTAACGATTTAGTTCCAAGTCAAATGGTCAAAAGCTCGTGTACAGGTCAGAACAGCGGAGATGCCAACGACTTGTATCGTCCGATGGTACAACGAAGACACTCCTATCATACACAGCAAAATTCGAATAGCGTTTATGACCCTGACAGCATGTTGAATAAAGACCAAATGCTTGCTTATAGAATGGAACTGAGCGAAAGTGATCTGTCAAGTATGCCTCCTTACTTGTCATATAAAATATTGGAGGAGTCTGCCACCTCCTCTGACATATCTGGTACGGTTTCATCAAATAACAACAAAACTGGGCCGCTGAAAGTACCATCAATGTCAGACACTGATACAGGATTTTCGTCGTCGACACGGAGTCTGCGTTCACCTAACAGTGGCAAAGACGACGCCGATTTATTTTTACATTCTTTACATTCTGTTAAAGTGAATAAGACGGACTCCGCGTACCAAACTAAACAAAAATCCGCCAACATTAAATCAGATCGAAATAAAGAGATACGCACACCAAGAACTAGGTTCGTATAAGTCATGCATTTGTTTCCACCAAATATAAACTCAGAATCTCGGAATATTCAATATATTTGATGCATGTATGTTGTAAAGTAAGGCATTAAACGGGAAATTGTATCTTGTATCTTTTCGCTGAAGTTACATCGAATACTGTGGTTATAATTTTTTTCTTCATTGATGCCTAGTCCAATATTCTATTTATAATACGTAAATTTTTACATTAAGAAGGAAGGATTCAAACGTGGTTGTACGATTACAAATGGCGGCGAAAAGATTACAGAATTTTTCATCGTCTGGTGACAGCGCTCTAAATACTACAATATCAGAGGACGAATCGGACAACACACACAGGTATTTATATATTGTTCAAATTGATATTCAAATCGCCTTTCTGCTGTGGTTAGTGGTCATCCCGTCATCCGCCCGTAAACGATATTATTGCTAACTATTCAATAGTACTGGCTGGATCTTTATTAAATTTCATGTGTAGCTTCCTCTTTGTCCCTGGTTGTGCCCACTTGGTTATGGAAATTATCAAAAAATTAAAATCACTGACAAACGGCCATTTCGGATTAGACTATGAAAGTTTGTTATCGCTACTTCTTGAAAGTATTGAATGGATCTTTCTCAGTTTTCATATGTAGATTTCTCTGGGTCCCTATTTGTGCCCTTTATGTGTTCGGGAATGATTAGAGACATAAAAATGTCTCACTGGCAACTATCTTGGATTTGGCAGGTAAACGATTATGATCGTTATTTCTGAAGAGAAATGTTTAAATTACATATCATTGTGAGCAAAAACTGAGGAAAGAAGAGAAAGGTAGGAAAAACTTTAAAAAGAACAAATAAATATTAAAGAATGATAACAAAACATCTGTGATATCTTGCTTTTGGGAGAGTTTTTAGATCATAACATGCACAGTCGAAATGTAAAAAGATTATTATACTATTACACGTGTAGCGGCCATTTTTTCACGATTAATCTATAACTATAATGGGGTTGCGTTACTGAAACACACACAAAATATTTAACAAAACTAGATGTGTAATAAAAAAATCTGTGAAAATTTAGAGAGATTGTTATAGTTAAAAGTCAAAGATGTAAAGGAAATTAGATCTTGACAGTATTTGGCACATATGATCGAATTATTATTTCAGGAAAAATAGAATATTAGAAAGTCCAAAAAAATGGTTGGAAGGGGTGTCAGAAGAATATACAAGTCACACTTTTGATAGCGACTCGTTAGGAAAGGATCGAAGTATGCAGGATTCCGTCATCGACATCGAATTAAAGGACTTCACCTGCGCCTAGAATGAGTGAAAGGACTTCACCTACATGAAAAATGAGTTACAGGATTCCCCTGAGTGTGAAATATGTTACAAGACTTCACCTGCTTGCAGAATGGTTCCGGAAAGAATAATTATTTCTCTTTGTTTCATAAAATACACTTAATTGTTCCAAATTAATGTAAAAGTGTGAAACGATTTTTCTTTATTGCATTTTTATCATTTCAGAGAAGATTACATATATTATCAAGACTGGTCTTTCTGATGACTCAAACTTCGGTTTTGCTTTTGCAATGGACATCATGATTATGTATTTCAAATGTATCTGTTGTTCACGATTATATTACACTATCGGTTATGGTCCTAACTGGAACCTATCGACAACAATTTCTACAAACAATATATCTATATATATGTGTGTTTGTTTCATTCGACTGCATCTAAAACATTGGTAATAATTTTGGTGGTAGTCTTTGTACATAGCATTGTTTTTTCATCAATAAATAAAATAAGTTTCTCCACGATTATTTTATTTTCCCAATTACAGAATAAAGCTTTAATGGTCTTGACACCACGTAATGGTTCTTTAAAGGTCTAATATTGAATATTTACCTGTGTTTCTTTTGTATATTGATGACTTAAAGTGAATCCAGAATTTTAAAAAATTATAACTGTTGAGATACAGCATTTCTTTGATTAAAATTTTTCAATTTTAATTCTTTAAGTGGCTCACCATTGACATAATAATAGCATATTAGTGTCAACGCTTTACATAGAGAAACAAACATAGATTTTGTAAACTGTATTTCCAAATTCTAGACACCATCCATATAGATAATAAATGTTAAGTTAGCAAGGCAGTAGAGGCATATCTGGCTTTAAGAATACATGTACTAAGCATGTTTGTAAAAGTCGGCTTATCCTAGATTCTACAAATACATAAAGTCGTGAATATGTATAAGACCTACATGCATTTACAAACCTACAATCATATCATCTCTTGTATGAATTTTTTAATTTGTAATCAGTTTTTCTCCCGCAAAAAATATTTGAAATTTTTTTTTGCAACAGCTATTTCCTGATTATTTTACCAGCTCATAGAAATTATCTGCAAAATAATAGCACTTCATTCTCAATTGAATTCAAGCTTCAATAGTCATTTTCATATCGACATCCAAAGAAATGTTTCATTGTGCAGTGTTTAAAACCACCTATATACAAGAAAATGGAGTGTTCTATTTTTGTTTTTATTACTAGATTAGTTCGGCAAGTAAATTACACACAGTACAAAACAAAATATGTGTGGAAGTTTTGTACTCATTGGTGTTGGTAATTTGTATGTGCCCATTAGAGTTATAAATGCATATGATTGTAAATGTATATACGATAATTTCATTGTGAATTACTCTTTAGAAAAAACTTGTTGAAATGTTGCTGTTTGATGTATTCCTTGTTTTATTTGAAACAAAGAATCGGTATGTCAAGGCACAGATTGGTCAACTTTTTCGAATGCTACTTTTCTAGAACGGTTGGGGGATTTTAATAAAATTTGGATGTGTTTATTGAATGGTGTATAAAAGAGTAAATAAGGCGCCCAGTGACAGAGTATGGCAATAGAGTGCAGAGCATTGATATCAGTGGCCTAAAACAAGGCGGTTTGGGAAGACCACATCATCGATACTCCAGGAAGTACCGTCGCTTTCGCTCTCTGCACTCCTTGAACATGTCATGGCAAAATTGGAGGTTCCAAGTGGACAAGACGAAAAAACTAGTTTGATCTTTTGGTGTACATGAAACGAATCTCGAGGTCGCATAACGGTATTATTATGTCTTTGAAGTTTGGTATTGCTCTTTTGTTATGTTGCAGAGAGGAGCGTATCAGCCTGTGATTGGTCATTTTTTTTCTACTGGAACCAATCAAATTACTTCCGTTGTGCCTTCAATTTTGCCAAAACATGTTTTAGGTGTGCAGAGAGCAAACGTGATCATAACCCCTGGAATATCGAGGATGGGATGACTACAACGCAATGTTGTAAGACCGAATAGCATAGTTATGGGTGATTAAGGTGATTTCCATAGCCTCATTCTGTATTGTGGACAAAGAGTTTCTGCTTTTTCGAATATGAGAAAATCGCAATATATGTGATTGAAATATCGTTTTTTATTTTACTCATTGAACACAGCTGGAATTGACAATGATCTATATGGAGTTAACTTGCGAACTTATTTTTACTTAATAGTATAATACAAAACCCGCATTTAGAGTTAATACTTTTCTCGCCTCATAGAAGTAATTTCTATCTTTATGTCACAAAATTGTATGAAGGTTATTTTTCTGTAACGTAACATCTCTAAACAATAACTTTTCTCTGAAGGGACAGTCAGTTTTTTTAATTCTTTAAAATAATCACTCTAAAGTGGTTCCTTCGGCACGTTTTATAATTCCATATCAGACGGCTAGAAATAATATCATTCGAGAGTAATAGCAATGTTTTTCTCTGTTGTACAAGCAATCATTTAACATAATTAAAATTGGTTCATTAAATCCAAGAGAGACAGTTTTAGAGCCATTTGTATTGAAACTACAAACTATTTTGCTTCTTTTAAACTTGATAAATGCGGTCAGACCAAGTGATAGTGATAATAAGCCCTAAAGTATTGTGCTTTTCATGGCGGTGCTGTTGTTTGACAATCAGAGGTTTAAGTAACTCTCTGGTGCTCTGTTATATAATGTTATGTAGTTTTAGAATGAAATTCGTTTGATACATGAGTAGTATCTCATGTCGTGCGATGTTTTGTGTTATAGTCGTGAAAAAAAATAAATATATCAAAATATTGATTGCTTCGGGGTTTTTTTTATCTTGCCTAGTTTTATTGCTTTATCGATTATCAATGCTTCCACATTCCTTCTTTGCCTGGAAATTTTAAAAAATATTTTCATGACTATATTTTGGTCATGTATCATTTACCTACCTTTATGAATAAATGTTGCAAAGGGATTAGATAAACAGCTTAGACAGAAATGATTTTATGTCCCTGCTTGTTTATCTGTTGTCATCTTTAACCTTGCCCATAACTATTGCACCGTAAGAGTTAAGCTTTCATATTTGGTATGTGTATTCCTTGTGCCAATATTTTTTTTTGCGGTGGTAACTAAATATGTTTGATCATGTGGCCTTGACTGTGACCTTTGACCTACATTTATAAGATTTAAACATTGGCCACACTTACTGAACTAAAACTGTCAAATCATTACCACAATGAAGACATAAGTGTTTCACAAACTGCGCATGCAATTAGCACGTGTCTTACACGGTACAGTTTTACCGTCACACTTCAGAATTTTGCTCCAGCTGGAGCATAGTGTTTTATAAACACATTTCGTTTTCTATCTTTCCTGTGCACGTGCCCTTATTGTACAGAAAATATAGATTATTTGTCAGTTCATTGATGTGTCTGTGCCTTACTACGACCTTGCCTGTTATAGAACAAATTATAATATCAAACTGGAAAAACTTCAGCCAATGAGTTCAGACTAGTCTACTACTAGTCCTACTGAAAAAAGAACAGTTTCTGTAAATATTTAGAATACAAAATGACATTTTTCCTCTGTAAATTGATAATTTACCACAATTTTGAGTTTAACAGTTAAGTCTACTAGCATAAATGGACATAGGTAAGGTATTTATCTTACAGTCAAATTCAGTTTCTGTGTTCAAGGTTATAGTTTGCCAATGTTATTATTTTTATTTACCAAAACTTATTCAAAAATGAAGTTTTTTCGCATAAATGCGAGTAGACAATACTTTTTATCTAACAATTGTTTAAAATGTAGCTCTTCTCGGTTTTATTCTGTCATTGAAAGCAACAACCTTTACACTATTGCACGGAATATCAACAGTGGACATTTAAACCTACAACACAAAATTTCAAGAGAGGAGGTTGAAGTCTATTGATTGATCAAGAAGCCAAAAACGCTTATCCTTCCAAAACCCTTGGTCTTATTATCCATGTACTTTTTTGGTGATCTTTCTTTTGTTCTTATTTTGTCCATGTTTCACTAATTTTTCATTTAATTAAATGTTTTTTGTAAACATGTATGTTTACATGATTTTCTTGCCATACATGACAATAATAATACATATATTGTTGTAATATGAAAACAATGTCGGCTGTTAAATTAGTACATTTATTTTATTTGATAAATAGAATGTAACAAAGTAAATCATCCATTTTTAAAAGCAAATAACTATTCTAAACTTTTGTTAAGGACGGAAGTATTTCAGATACCAGCGAATAGATATTTGGTCAAATTGGAGGATGGGTCGAAGAATTTCTCACCAGCAAAGAAATCTTACATATCATCAACACATTTCTGGATACGTACACTGACATTATTTACTGAAGCAAACTGACAGCAATAACCAGTTATGTGGATAGAAGAGACAGAATCTGCTTGAAAATTCCTTACATTCACGTCTCATCTACAATTGTCATGTGAAAACTGATTTCACACTCATATGCACTCAGAATATAATTGTCATCAGCTTTTAGTACTTGCTGACATCCGAAGTTACGAATCAACAGATAGGAAATATGATGTTATAGGCTATATATCTGTGATTTCTACTTTGAAGGCTAATGATGTGCATCCACTATTTTTACAGTAACACAAACGTAGATCCAACACCATACAATAAATGTACACAAGTTTTTGGTTATGAATAATACAAATACTCTATAATTGTCGCCATTCCAGAAAAACACCCACAGAAATAAAACAATATTATTGATTTGTTCATTTGAAATGAGGAAACAGAATGAATACAGAAATGATAAAAAAAATCTGAATATATATCTTTCTTTGAACACAGTTGTTTATATATACACTCATACACACACATAAAAAAGTATTTTGGCCATCAAAAAATTCATCCGCATAATGTCAAAAGCAAGTTGTTAATAAATGTAATTAATAACTTAAATGTATTAAAAAAATTGAAATCTTTTAACATTTTACATATGTGCAATGGAAATAAAAATATTGATATAACAAGCAATTCTGGAGAGGAATTCTAGGTCACCAGAAACGTAAATGTCTCTTGCTTTGGGGAAGAAACTGAACCACATACGGCAACTTATCTCAGTGAGTGTTAACATGTTTTGTTTAAATAGATTGTTAACCTTAAAAAAGATACATATGTGAAAGTTTTATTTGAATTAGGCCACACATTCATTTTCTATTAACAGAAGGACCAACACAGAACTCACTTGTATAAAAGCAGGCAGAAAGACAGCCAGGCATATTTACATATTTTTTTGCTGAAAATATACTTGCGAAAAGATGTCATAAAAAATGTATGCCAGGTAGTTATCTTCAAAAACTACATGTAAGCAAAATTTGGACAACAGTTTATTGAAAGTTCTGTGCTTATATATTGTATCCTCACTGTTCACCTTTCACAAAATTGTATGCATCTCCCCTTCAAACACCCATGGAAGAAAACAAACAAAAAAGAAAACAAAAAAAAAGGGAGGATGCTACAACAGTCTGAAAATATTGCATTCTATGCTAATTTTAATCACTGAAAACAAGTATGGAAGAGAGTTTGTCATAAACATTTTAAACATTTTTGCCATTATCATGAAATATCTCTATTGTAAAGGTACTGAAAAACTTTGGCAATATACATTTTGATAAGAAAAAATATTTGGCAAAACTGTGCTTTATTTTTTTGAATGATGTTTCAAAAAGTGCAAACCTTTGACATTGAGATGCATAATTTTTGCAATGTTAACTAGTGATACAGGGATTTTAAAACAAAAACCTACCCTGTATAAATAAATCCTTCACCAGCGTGTTAAAAATGAAATAATATTAGTTAATATACATTACATTCCAAACACACAAAAAAAAAAAATACCACAAAAGATTTTCTTCAAAATTTAGTGCCAAGAAATTTTAAAAAAGTGAGTGAGAAAAAAAAGAAAAAAAAATTGAATACAATTCCTTCTGAAAAATTGCATATATTAAAAAAAACTAGGTACTTTGATATTATTGCTGTATCAAACACATTTTGGTTATCTGAAACTTGGTTTAGGTTAGAAGTATCTTTTATGAAAGAAAGCAATCTTGGCGTGTGAGAAAAATTTCATGGATGTTTTGTTTAATTCCACCCATGCTCCAAACAGAAAACCTTACATTGGAAATATCAAAAGCTAGTAATAAAAATAAATCAGAATAAGAGCACGTGGACAATACTAAAGGAAACTCCCCAAAAGCAATAGACTTTAAGAGAGAATGGATGTGTCCACTGAATTAACAAATGTTAAGTATATAGATTTTGTTTTGAAAGCAAAACCATGATTTTTAACTGCTTTATTTACATCCATTCTAAAACTTGACAAAAACATTAATATATTCTTTCTCCCTCCGTAAAGAAATAAAAATTATAGAAACTTCTATGCAAATTCAAATTAATATAATAATTTTCATTATAATGATATAACATTTAAATGAACTGTGTTGAATATGAATAAATATATGCAATTTTAACAAGTTACTATATATATTATTTTTATTATTATATCTCATAAACTTAGGATACATAATACTGCAAATAGGTAACTGGATTCATCAACAAATGCAGAATGTTAGAAACTGCTGGGCTCACTTCATAATGCAAATCAATTGAAATATGACAAAATTGATTTTGAATATTAGTATGACACAGATACCTTTGGAATGATGCATGTAATGAAATGAAATTTACACATACAAATGTTATTGATTATATCGATAAAATCAACAATGAAATTTTATTTGAAATGTCTTAATATATTGAACCTCAGAGACAGAACAGGAAAAAGGCAGAGGATTAGTTAGAAAATGAAACTTCAGATGTCTAGATGGAAATTATAGTCAATACTATTACATATTAGGAAAAGGTCATTATTTATCAAGATCAAGTCTGACAATTTATAACAGGATTTGCTGAGCTGCAACAATAAGTTACATGTAATCATTTTGGCTGAAACACATTTGAACAATATGAATACATCTATCTTGTATATGGCATATAATTTGTTTTTTTTTTTTTTTTGGTACCCAGGGCACTGACATATATAGTTGGCATCAAGCTAACAACTTTTTCATTTGCTTAAAAATGCTTTCTAATATTTAAATGTGACTACTAAGTTAATTCTGTGGTATGAAGAGTATTCAAAATTGTGTTTATATTTTAAATTTCAAATATAGATACGCAGTCAAAATGAGCAATTTCATGAAAAAGTTGATATTAGGAACTGATAAGTAGAGATGTTGAGCCAACACCAATGTGACCAAAATGTATGATATAACTGAGAAATGGTACCCTGAACATGCAGCAATATAATCAGGCATTGCACTATTCCTATAAAACACAAACTATTTACTGTACACAACTGTCTCTGATTAATATCTAAATTGTCCAACAACTTTTATACACGGAAATAAATTTCAAAACATTGTTTACTATATATTGAAGACATACTGAATATGAAATCTTTATTTTTTTAAATTTCAGTTTTCCTTTTTGTACTTAAATGTAGATACAAAATGTATTTCTATGTCTGGTTCCCCACCCTCCCCTCCCCCCAATGCAGTTTAATTGTTATAGTCTGTATCAAAATATGTACCGTTTCTTTTTCAGTCCTCTGAGAGTGTCTAAAATAACTTAAAGATAGATAGTTTTTTTCTTTAAAAAATGAAGATAGCTTAACAATAACAGTTGATAAGGTAGAAAACAAACACTTGTACAATAGTCTAGTTTTTGTTTCATCACAAACCCACCAGACTCTGCTCTGTTATTTGAGTTTGAGACTCAAATGATGGAGCTAAGTCTCATGGACTTCTGACAATGGGTTATGGATGAGTGAGTAGTACTAGTGAGTACATTAAAGATTCTCTTCTCAATCAAACTTTCTCCATGGCACTGTTGATATATAGTGATCCAAGTCTCCTTTTGTGAGTAAGTAAAGTGCATCTGTTTATACAATTTGACAAAAAAACCCTTTAATTTGGACATGCAATCTTTCAACAAGAGACCCAAAAACCATCTAGAACCCTCTATTACTAATAATTTCTTCAGTTCAAAAATTCAATTAAAAAATAACAATTTTGAATCAGTTTCATGTATGTTTAGATTCAAAATGGCAACTATCAGACAAAAATATATTGGTTTTATTTAAAATCTTTAGAAAACTTGTTTAGTCAGTAAATCTATGTATAACCTATTTCTTCACTTGATCATGCCCATCTCGTCTATTCCGAGTCGTTTCTGTAACTGTTCAGCAGACTTTTTGAAATCTTTTTCCATGTTTGCCATGACTTTCATGTCTGCTACAAACTTGGTTACACTTTTTGGTTTGTTGGTAGCCGAGTCCACGCGGATCCTAAGTTGCTGTCCTATGTGGTCCTCGGGTGGTTCTTCATCTGACGAGTCGCTACTGTATCTGTACCCTTGTTCACCAGGACTGTCAGGTTCATCTTCATTAGACACATTATTGCCCTCTTGATTAAAGTCTGATTCTGAATTTATATCCAAGTTATTGTGAATATCTGGAACAGGTGTTGCCACTGGTGCACTGGGTGGGGAGTCATGTGATTGCTGATCGCCAGATTGAGATTCCGTATCATTTTCCTTGGAGAGAGTTTCCTCCCCTGATTGTTCTTTAATCACATTCATTGTTGGTACACTGGCAGACTTTAGTCTTGGTTTCTGTGCTGGTTTCTTCTTTGCTGAAGTGGGTTTGTTGCTCACAGGATGTGTCACTTCATATTTCAGTGGCCGGTCATGTAGCTGGGTAACAAACACTGCCAAATCATAAATGAATCAATTATCTTGAATCAGTATTTAAATCAAGGTGTGTTATTACCTTATAGCTGCTTATTTTCAAGGTCAAAATTTTCACAGTTTGCTTTAAAAATGATTGAATTGTATTTCAACAAATTAAAAATTTCACAAACTGAATTTCAAAGGACACATATGAGTCTCATTATTTCATGGATTACATTTTCCTGATCAAATTAATATACTGAAAAATTGCGACAATATCGTCCCCATGAATATAACCATCGATACAACAGTTTTCACTTCCTGGAAGAGTCCTTTGTAACAGGAATAATAAATAATATTTATTAATAATAAATATCTGACAAATTCATTGTCTTAATTATCAGAAAACAATTAAGCTTGCTATCTACCTCAACAAATACTCTACTTAAGGCATCCTATCTATAGTACTGTTTTCATTAGTATGAAACAAAAGCAGGAAACAGTTCCTTCATTTTCAATATATATATTTACAAGTACTATTGTTTAAAAAAAATACCGTGAAAGTTAAAATCCTTGTAACAGAGGTTACTCTTTCTTTAAAATCCTTGCTAGAGATTGAGAACCCTACACATGACTGGCTAATGCTATATATCGCCTTGCACTTTATTAATTTAGTTCTAAAGAAAATCCTTGAAGATTAGTCGATAGTTTGGGTGGTGTTTTACCAGAGAGACATACTCTCCATCAAGGAGAGACTCAAGTTTTCCCTAGGCAACAGCAAAGCTTGCACATTTTAATTTTTCCCCTGAGGAAACAACAAAGCTTGTTCATTTCAATTTGTGGTGGAAATGGGCTACAATATAACAGAGGTGATTCTTTGAACAAAACTTTTTTTTGTGTCTCTGATAAGGATTGATCCTGATAGCTCTGGTCTTTAAAAGACTTTTTATAATTAGAAACAGAGAACACCTCTATCATTGACTCAGTAAAAAGCAGCTAGTATTTTATTGAGGTGTTTTACAGAATGAACTGTCTAGAGCTAGTTTCATAAAATCATAAGTAAAAAGATTCTCTCTGGAAAATTTCTCTAGATTTTGTGTTGATGGGTACATACCACTGGCACTCTTAGGCCTTGGTTTCTGGCTGGTTTTTTCTTTGTTGGTTGTAGCTGTGAACGCACTGGTAGGACGAGGTTTCTTCACTCCATTATCTGGACCAAACACAGCGTCCAGGTCAAACAGATTTGTCTGTATTGGAAAAATTAAAAATGATAAACCAAAGTTTGAAGAGGTCAAAAAGATTTGTTTGTAGAGAAAAATCACCAAAGTTTGCAACCAAACACGTCTAGGTCCAAAAAATGTGTATTCGAAAAAGAAAAAATTCAAAGATTTAAAACAAACTTCCAAGTCAAACAGATTTTTCTATTGGAAAATTGGATCATAGGTTTGAGAATTAAAAATGAATAGCTTCTAATATACACAATGATAATATTTTTTGTTCAAAGGGGCAGGTAGATTAAGATTTAATCAAATAGATTTATCAGACAGAACCAAGTTTCTTTAACACAATATGATATAGGTATGTGAGAAATAAGTGTCATTTTCTGAAGCATTATTTTAGTCTCTGTAAAATGTTTCATTATATACTTTATACAGTAAAACAGAAGATCAGAGATGACTGACAGATTACCTGTTTATATCGGTACGGATCATCATACGGAGCTCTGTTTTTGTTTCTATTATCACGACCATTCTCTAAATGGTACAATCCAGAAAAGGCCTGTAATGAATAAATGAATGAATGAATACTATTTATTTTGGAATAAATAAATAGATAAATAGATAAAAAGCTAATATGTAGATAAGTAAATAAATAAATAAACTAAAAAGGATTAAATCACACTGTTCCATAAGTAAGGAAAGAAAAGTATTATCAACAAGGACATAGTCATCATGATCCCCTATCCATGTTTATTTGTAAAACAGACTTAAAGTGAGCAACATGGGAAACTGGAAAAGATATCAGCCAATCAGATCACAGCAGCCTCATTAAATATGCACAGAATTTGCAGATAATCAAACTTGAACAAGAGGTTAAGGTAACAAGTCTACCAAGCAAGTCTCATCATTATCTATTTGTTCCTTCAAATAATAACGTGAGGAAAGCATTCAGTTTGAGTGCCGAAACATATCAGCCAATCAGGTCTCATAAAATATGCACAGAATATGCTGATAATCAAACCTGAACAAGGAATTAAGGTAATAAGTCTACAAAGCAAGTTTCCTAAAAATTCTTATCATTCCTTCATAAGATAATGTGCAGAAAGATTTCCCAAAGTGTGATTCAAGAAATCAGCCAATCAGGTCACAGCGGCCTCATTAAATATGTGTGGAATTTCACTGTTAATCAAACCTGGCCAAGGTATTAAGGTAACAAGTGTACCAACCAAGTTTCATCAAAATCTTATTTATTATGCAAAAGAAATCATATGGAAAGCAGCATCTGGATGGACTGAGGGTCAGATGGAAGGACAGACAGAAGGAACCCATTTGAATATCCCCCGCCAACTTCATTGGGTAGGGGATAATAAACTGACAGTGATGAAAGGATATTGCTGGGAGTTAATACCTTAATACATAAAAACTTAATACCTCTGTACAAACTTTGGAAACAAAAATAAACATGGTTTAAAAATTTTTGATAATTAATTTTGAAACATAATTCCATGCAGGCTGATATTCAAAATTATTAACCGGAATATATTTTATCAAAAATAAAACAGACATTTATGATAAAAATTAATTACATACTGAATTAGTTTTGTTCCTGTCCCCAGTTGGTTGCACAAATAGGTCATTCAAAGTCATGTCTGGATTGTTCTCTTTCATTGTTCTCTGTTGTTTCTGGGCAGATCTGATTCTCCCCCGTGTGCTGTTACCACTTGTAGGACGGGTTTGGCGGTTATTTCCCTGAAAAAAGAAAACACCTGTTATATCTACTATTAAAACCACAATTACACAAGAAATCCTTATTATTTTTCAACACATACTACATGTTTAATGTAAGCAGTTCTTCATGATCCTTAGTACCTTTTTGAACACTTTTGTGTCTAAAATGATAATAAATTTATATCTCTGTTAATGGTTTAGTAAGAGATGTAATTTCAGTAATAGCATTCTGCCATATAGATGAAGGGAACCTTCAATAAAAAAATAAGGAAATATACCTATTCTTACAGAAAAATTTGAAGACATTATGTGATATAAACAGAACATTGTAAAATCAAATTTTTTGTCGCACTCAAATTTCTTAGTTTTATCAAAAAGGCAGTTAATTTCATGGAAAATAAATCTTGCTCACCAAAACCACTAGAACATAAACCATGTCATTTTATCTGTTAACCATTTTGTGGACATAGTGAGTTCATGGATTACAAATATAACCACAAATATGATGAAAATAAATTACCCACAAAAATTAATAATTCTACAGGATGTTTAAATTTTCACAAAGTCACACATAAATGACTGAACACAAATCAGTAGTACCTGAAGGGAGATAATTCTAAGTTCAGAAAGAATAGAAATGATGAGGTACAGATATAATACAGCTGTAAATTATGCAATACTCTTTTAGATCTAATTTCAACCAACATCCTCATGTGTATACAAAAATACATTTCAGTACTTTTTCCTCTTCATTTCTTAAGAAAAAAAAAGTTGAAGTTTGTTAAATCCTCAATATCTGTTCCACTTGTAATTATAATGAGAACAATTTAATTTAACTTACTCCTCCGACAGTTTTGAGAAACTGTTTGTCCACTTCCTCGTATGTTTTTTTGGTGCGGAGTGGGGTGACAGTTTTTGCCATGTCGTGTTCATGGTTCTGTAACACCTCATCCATGTAAAGTTGTCGGTTACGCATGTAAGTTTGTTGGCGAACTTGGATTTCTTCTTGAATCTGAGCATACTCTCTGTCAAGTAACTTGATAGCAAGCCTCTCCCAGGTTCTCACAACTTTCTCCTGGTAAACAAGATACAAGAAATCCAGTCATGCTATATTTCCTCTATAAATTATATTTTTGAACTCTGATTTTTTGTGTCTGTACATAAGGATATGTATGTGAAGCATACGAATATATCATCATAAGTCAAGATGATAAATCAGATCAAAAAATGGAAGGTATTTGTACATCATATATTTTGTTTATTATGATAACACTGGATGACATACAGTACAAAAAATCTCTTTGCTAACCATTTAGTTACAGTATATCATGATAACATGCTCAAAAGTGACATATCTTATCCTGTTACTACCAGGATAACTTTTTTCTTTAATCAATTAAAAATTTCAATTTCTTCTCTCAAATCTTTTTTTTTTCTTATCTTTAATCCCAAAATCTTAAAAATGTCTTATTAGCAAAACGCCAGCACAGTCTTTTGAAAAGTGCATTGAAAACTGAAACCTTTCTCTGTGTTTTACCTTTATCTCTGGGATGGGTGTATTGGTTGTGCGTTTCCCATCCTGAGATGATTGCATAAAATCAGGAGGCTGTAGACCTGTGAATCCCGAGCAAACGTGACATGTGAAAAGCAAATTTAAACATTAATTGTGCAAGAATTTTTAAGTGGCAGTGCAGTTCTATTAAACTTAAATGTTGTTTCCCTCAAACATCTCTACTACATGCAAATACCTAGTAATAATTATCAAAATGGGCTTCATTCCTCGTGCAGTGAACAAAAGGCAAAAATAACTCTAATGGGAGAGAAGGAGACGGGAAGAAGTGGCCTGCGGACAGACATAGTAGTAATATGTAACATTCCATTATAACAAGAAGTAGTGACATAAAAATACCATTGGCAATAGTATATAAATAATGATGAGTTTTATGGGCCAGATTATATGTGATGTACAGGCAGGCAACAATGTACTAATGATGAAGTACAAAGCCTGCCTGATCTTTACCGGCGCAGTAGCAAAGAAGCATGAACTCCACTAAGGACATTGACAAGGTAATCATATTATTTTCAAATGTGGTGTGTAAAAAAACATTGCTACATGATCAACGTGTATGAATCTTTAAGAAAAGATTTTGGTATTTTTCTAAACAGTGACATAAACTGTCTAATGGTGTGTTGAACCCTTCTACTGAGCAGCTAAATATAGGGATTGACTATGTGCTGTAATTGATGAAACTTTGTCTTGTTTCTCAGTGATATACAATGCAATTTTACTGCAATCTGGAATCTTAATGAAACCATTTCCACTGCCATTGTTGACAATAAAATGCAGCTGGTATATCAAAGTTTTGAATATATGTAAACCAAATATGAAATAGTATTACTTTTTTTTCATGGAGACAGAGACAAGACCTAGATAAGTCTTGACTGAATAAATACTTGAGTATCTAATTACTATCATGATCATGCCTTTGAAACACATTTTAAATCATATCATTGGTCAATCCAGAAATAGGCTGATAATTTGTGTTGGTCTATCACATGGTTAAAAAAACTTAAAGAAACAGGCAATGAACTTGTACATGCCAAATGAAATTTTATCCAAGTTGCCAATTAATAAATGTGCAATATTGTGTCTTCAAAATGACTTTTTGTGTTTTTGCTGAACATCCAGGGTCATTTTGAAGTTGCCTTGTGGTAGCTACCTCATTGAATAACATGTAGGATGTCCATCACATATCATTTGAGATGAAGTGCCTTGTTCAATGACACAACCACAACAACAAAGACCAGTCAGTTTCTTATCTTCCTGAAACACAAACACTCACAGTAGGGATCATCATATCACACAACCCTGATATTAACCGGAGGTGGTGTAGGCCAATGCTCTGCTATTGTGGCTTCTATGTATGTGTGTTATTAATAATGAGAACATAAATCAATGTATAAACAATCACTTTCACCTTTCACTTACCAATAATATTTCCAAGGTGTAAAGAAGCGTTGTAATCTCCACTCCAAGATCTGCAAAAAAAAAAAAAAAAAATACATATGTATATCGATGAAAAATCTTTCCTCTGTATATACTTATGAAAATAAATTAATATGATTTATTAAATTATTACTAATCTTGTTAATAATTTGTTATTTCCTTTATTTCAGTTTCAGTATCAGTAGCATTGCAGAAGTTTAAAACACGTTTAAAGTGTCCATTGAAAGCTTTTCATTTTAACTCTTTAAAAAAAACACTATCAACATTTTTTTATATATATATAGTACTTAAAATAAATGTACAGAAAAGAATTAGTATTTTGATTGAAAGTTTTCATTCTTTACTTACCTTTCAATTAAACAGAAAGGAGGGCACATAAACATATGAGAACAGATTACAAAAAACATGTATTCTGGTGATGATTTTAGTAAACATGCACTAATTGTCCTGATAGATTCAAAGCAAAAAGAAAAGAAAAAAAACCAACATCATAACATAGCAGATATTTTACCTCTTCACAAGAGTAATAAGAACATTCATTTGTTCTGCTAAATTCTGTTTTTCTGCATGACTCTGAGCAATGTCTTGCTTAAGTTTGGTGATGGTGTCAAGAAGTGCAGTCATATTCTGGGGATGGCCAACATGGCCATATACAGCTCGGTCTCCCTGTCCTCCTACAGGCATTTTTGGGATATACTGAACAGAGTTGGGTGTAAATAATCTGAAAACAAAGCAAGTAAAGATAATTACTGTTCAACAACTGAGTGAAAATACATGAGACAAGGTTGTCCCGCTAGTTGTGATGTGTGAGGTTCGCAAGGGTTACACAAAGGGATTTTGTATCCTTTCTAAAAGGGTTAGATACAAGTTTGTATTGTTTGGTCCTTTTTCTCATTACAGCCATATTTCTTGGCAAACTTCCTTTCAATAACTCAAACTATTCAAACAAAGCTACTTTTGCATCTGTCTGTATACAATTCGCTAGTTTATTCAAATCAGAAATTAGTCATTAAAAGTGATAATTTTCCAATTTAAGAAATGTATGTTTGGACTTCTGTAGCCAAAAAATGCAAGAAAGTGTGATGTATTATTCGTGGTCGGTATTTATTCACTTGACAGACGACAACAAAACACTAGCATCCAAGGATGGATGAATGGGTGATTTCATCATTTCTGGAAGGATGTTTGACATGTAAAAATGTGTATTAAGAGAAAATACACAACTTTTGTGATGAAATAAATACTCATTTCATGGTGAATGGATTGCATCACAAGTTTCTATTCTTTTTGAAAGTGTGACATGTTACAGCCATCAAAATCACGCTGTTGCGATGCCACGGAGGATAATAGTTTACATGATACAGCTGAACAAATTGACTAGTCCGAAATACATAACGGTTGGGAACCAATGTCGAGACGATATGTCTAACTATGCAGGAAAAAAACCTTACACGTCACAAATATAGATCGTCATTAAACAGTACAATGTTCTATGTGTATTATGTATACCAAAAGTAACATATGGACAAATCATGATCTTACCAATATTTTAAAATACGATTGGAATTTTATCTCAACGCCATGTTGTTTACACAAATAACCATGCACTCGGACTTTTCTAGCTTTATTATATAGTTGGAAGGAAAGTCAAAAGAAGTATCGAAAGAAATCATACTTTTCCGGATCGTCAAAATGTTTAAAAATGACGAACGTAATCACAGAAAAAATCAAGCTTTTCAAAAGCGCTGATACAGGAAGGGAGAAGCCGATTAAGAAATATGGCGTATTATCAGGGACAACAAGGCTATGGCCAACCCCAGGGCCCTCCTCCAGGCGGTGTAGATCAAAGCTTCCTGTGGAATGTGTTCCAGAAGTAAGCTACCGATTTGTTTTATTATCTAGTCTTTAAATATAAAGGATTGAAATGGAACTATCGTTCACATTTCGAATCGTTTTTAGCTCTAGTTTTAGAAATCACTGTCATGGTTCATTTCCGGCATGAATAATATACGGAATTATTTCACGTGAAAATGATTCATAAATGCATGCTGCAAAAACCTTATCATTGTTCGTGTTTGAATAATTAATGAAGTCATTATCTTTATGTAGACACTTTTCATTTCGAATTGAGAATTTTGTTGCATTTAAATAAAATGGTTGGAATCAACGTACACGTTATATAACAATATAATCAAAAATGTTTCTTGAATTTGAACCGTTGTTGAAAATAATTTTACATGGTCTGTTTTTGCTTTTATACGTTGCCTGCATCTATCTAAAGGAAATTACAGTATGAATATATTAAAATTTGTATATATTAAAAACTATATCTTATATTGTAATGTATATGAAGCATATCTGAGTCAGGTTTTAGAAAATGCAGAACAAAAATTCTCAATGGACTTTTTTTTTGTTAAAATATAAAATGTACCTGAAGTTAAACAGGATTAGTATTTAAATGGGACATTAAATACTGATGCCCAACTGCCAGGTCTGAGCCACTTCAAAACTTTTGATTGGAATTCTTATAATTTTGACTAGTTCAATGTAATGCTGTACCTTTCTAGAGTTGATAAGGACAGAAGTGGCCAAATTAGTGGCAAAGAACTTGGGGAAGCATTGTCCAATGGTAAGTTGGGTCACGTCGTACATTGCCTGGCGCATGACCCTAACACATACCTTCCCTTGTCTGTAGATATATATATGCATGCTTTACAATTATTGTCTGTTTGACTTATATTGTTATTGAAATCCAGCTGAATTTCCTCCACAGAGAAATTATTGTACTTTTGCAAAATTTTAAAAATTACCCGTAACTTAAGTTAAGATTCTATCTGAAGTATATTAATTTTTAAATGAAGATTATTTTTTGACACTGAATAAAAGTAGAAATAAAATTGCTAGTAATTTTAAGTTGTATCTGATATTAATAAATAACTAAAATGTTCTTGTTCCCCGTTGGTATCTTTGCTTCATACTGTGTGAATTTAAACATGTTGAAAAAAATACAAGTATCAACATATTTACATCAAATTTGATAAACATCTGAAGTATAATGTAGAATTGACTTTAGAATCTGTGTTAAGCAAAATTGTCGAAAAAGTATACTTATCTTGGTAAAAATTAGTATGGGATAAATTATTACCTTATATTCTACATTCTGTCTTTTTGTGATACAGAGTTACCTGCTCTTGTGAACTAGCATTGCTTGTTATGTCAGTGTTTGTGAGAGAATGATATCATTAATTTATGAAAACACATTGTAATTGTCTGACGCACATTATTGGCATAACTGTCAATTTCTGGTTATAAGAGCAGATAACTTTGCATATCATTAAGATGGAATGGTGAAATCTTAATTATCATTTACAAAAAAATATGGTAAATTTATCAAATATTTGTAAGAACTTGCTAAGAAGTCATTTTGAGCCTCATTTGTAACCGTTATATGAAGACAAACATACACGTTATTTGGTGACAGAAGGAAGATAAAAAAAACTGTGAAATAAAGGAATACATACCCAATTTTATTTTTAAAAATTCTAATTAAATATTGTACAGTTTGGAAAATTGGAGGCAGTTATGTAACAGATTTTAATAGGCTTAAGTACATAATGTCAGAAAAGATTTTATTTGTGAGTTTTCTAAAAAAAAAAATACTGCATGTTTGGTATAATGGGCATGTGTTGTCAGCCAGAGGATGTCAAAATGATGTCAGTTTCATACTGTGATACTGTTTTAAAAAAAAGAACAAACAGTTGATTGTATTGGTTCCTTAAAGACCAAATTGTAGAGTTGTTGACAGCTGCCATGACTTTTGATGTTTGGATATATAGCATGATTCAACATTTACCTTTTTTAATGGAAACAAATTGAAGATTTAAAAAGGAATATGGTAGATTTTATTTACCTGGGGCAGTGATGTTTTACACAAGCGACACTGACAATATGGTGCAAACTAACGAATTGTAACAGATTTGATTAAAGCTTTGTGCAAGTTTGCATGCAATTAGATATTGTACAGGTATGCAAAATAGGGCACAAGTTGTTTGTTGTGAGTATTGATAAATCAAATAGGACCTAATTATATATTTATATTTCACCAAATAATTAAAGTAAGAATCTGTTGTGTTTGTTTATAATGGAATTAAAACCATGGATAGACTGAAAACTCTTAACTCCGTGTGAGGTATATATAGGGCTGTCCTTGGAAATAGTGTGTCATTTTGTGGCCCATCAAAGAAACTATGTAAAATGTTTCAGAATTTGAAAAGAAGGTAGCAATGAACTGATATCAAAATAAATAAACAAAAATAACTAGCTGATAATTTAAAGGTAGCGATACAATCACATGTAAATGAATGGAGGGAATTCAAAGAGACCTGTGATTTATGTGAATAGTGATTGGATGAAATAACATTTTTGTGACAGGTTGGGATTAGAAAACATTGAAGTATTTTCATGAAAATAATGTGACCAGTGATGTCAACATGTAAATCAATATTTTAGATTCAATGTTAGATTTGATGTCAGTCGTGCTGGGACTTTTTCAACTGATTACTGTAGGTAATGTCAGTTACATACAGGTAATTTTTCTAAAAGAAAGTTTGATATTCTGTTTCTCAGGATTGATACTGACAGGAGTGGTGCTATCTCGGGTGCAGAGCTTGGACAAGCTCTGTCTAACGGTAAGACAGACTTGGACCTAACTATAGTTTATTATCTTGTATTTAAATATTGCCGATAATATTGAGAAAGTATATATAAAATATCATTAAGACAAAGTTTGTTACGAAATTAAATGGTCGAATTGGGATATGAATGACTAGTGTGTTCTTGGATGTGTGAAGTGACAGTAGTCCTTAGCTTTGTACTTGTGAAATATTATCATTTATCTATTAGATATAACTAAAATGGTCATCAGAAGTACAGGAATTACAGCAGCTATTTTTTCTGCCTTTTTTTGCTGTTTTGAAGTGACATATATAATATATATTGTTTGTACTATAGCCACAGCATTCTTTGTTTTCTTATAATTGTGTGCTAGTTATACAAAGCTTAAAAAACCTCAAGATTAAGTGGGATTTTACTTTTTTCTAGTTTGCTATCTATGTTTTATATAATGTCAATGTGTCACCAACCTAAAAAAAATGTTTCAAATCTTCAAATTAAGTTAGTTTCTGTAATAAAATTTGTAAATCTAAGATTTACGTGTAAATTAATTATTTAAAAGAAAGTTGATGTTTACTGCAATATAAATGTTAGCAGTTCACTGAAAACTTTAAAAGAAATTTGATTAATGAATTGTAAATTAAATTAGATTTGGGTGATTGGGTGTAACTCACTGGCCTTTCACCTAGGCCTCAGGGGTTTGATACCCGGAATGATTTGAAAAGGTATGGGGTCACCTGCTCCTGTGTACTCTGGTTTCCTCCCATAATAATTAAGATCACTTGAGCGCTTCCATGCAGACTAACATGAGCTATTGTTGTTAAGACTGATTTTTCATTTGTTATAAAATAAATTATATTCAATTCGTTGTAAATTCAAAATTATTTTTACTTAAAATTAAGTTTAATCTGTTTCAAAGAAAAAGGTTATTTGAAATGAAATTCTTATAAAAAATGGAAATGAATATTGATTTGTCTGTAATAACTACAAACTAACAGCTTGGTTACCACATACAATTGTACACAGAATGTAAAAAAAATGTTTTCAACCACACTAAATTGTCCACAGGACGTTGCATGGATTTCCACTTGCTGCCCATAATTCTTTGTTACTTATAATCAATAAAATGTACAATATATGACTTTGTTGTATGGATGTATAACAATAGCTTTACATAAGTGATAGGAAATCGGTTACATAATTAGTTATTGGTTAAAATCAGGTAGGCTTTTCAATGTAGTTAATCAATTACATGTACATAATTGGCTGACCTATTCAATATTCATAGAAAGTGAATTTACTCTCTGTGACAGTAATGTTTTCAATACTTCATGATCACTTAAATAATTTACATGAATGAATATTATTGGCAGGTGGCACCATCATTTTGCATGATATATATATACATATTTTTTTTTTTTTACTAAACACAATAAAATATTAAGGTACCACTGATTGATCATGAAAAATAACAATTGATAAACGCTTCAGATTGATTCGATAATGGATTTTATCCAATCATGGTTCCATCACTATTTCACATGCAGGATTAAAATGCATCCTTCTAAATCTTAATATCAGTACATATGTACATTAAAAACATGCAGAGACCAAAAGGGAACAAGAACTCTATTGACATTAAATTATGAATACTTAATTAGTAAACCTGTAATGTTCAAACTGGACTTCAATAATATGAATATGCATGATATTGTTTGTGTTGTTGTAGCATTATGCTTTTGGTGAAGGTTCTCATCTGCTTCTGCTTTGCATAATCCCTTGTTTTATATTTATTTTTAGTATGTAGAGAGAATATTCTTTGCTTTCTTAGTAGGACATATGGACTAACAATGATTTTCCTTTATCTTACAGTCATTGAAATATTACATTATGAATAACAGGTACACTACATCTCATTCTTCCAGTGTCCCCAATTTTAAATCCAAATTTAAAAATTGAAATCATCTGTGATTTTAAATTTAGATCAAAGCAGAACTTAATGTAATTTTGATTGTTTTAATGATTAGTGCTTTGATAAAAGAAAGAATTAGGAATTTAGAAAGTGTTTTTGGACTTAGGGAAGATTGCAATCTGTTTGATCACATACCAAGTAACAGCATGTATAAATTTATATTTAATTTATAGATATAAATTGGTTGTTGTAAGCATTGCTAGTAATTGCCTAAAAGGAACTTCTCTTAACATTTGATATGAAGCAGTTTCAGAAAGTCAACAATTTTTTCCTTGTTATTTGGAGGGTAAAAAACTTAATTTAATTGAATAGCCCTGTGAAAACCAAAGGTAAATTCATACCCAGTGTCACCACCCTGTAGTCAATGATATCTGATCATAGCCCTTTAAAATCAAGGGTAAATGGTTATCATAAAGGGCCCTCAAGGAAATATCCTAAAATTAAATCTATCTATATGTATTTAGATGATGTTTGGTGTTATGTTTGAACATTATTTTGACAAAATTGGATCCAAAAATTATTTTAAAAGTCCAGAAATATTAGGTGATTTCTAGCATTTTTCACAGTTTGAGCAGGTCATGATATGGCCAATATAAGGTTGTCTTGGCAAAATCAGGGGAGTTGGGGACATTTGTATACATTCTATTTTAAGTTCTAATTTATACTGAATATTGTCTCTAACTGAAATGTGTGAAAAATGAAACGGGCTTAAAATGATTTAAAATGGTGAAATTAAGGCAATGAAGAAATGTTTTTGAAACTGAATATTTCATCTTTACTGGTCTAATATATACCACGTAATGTGCTTCAAATATGCTGTCTTGCATGCATTAACACTTCAAAATGTGTGACTGCTATAGAATGTGAAAGATAGAGTTATCTACCCTTGTTGATAGTACACATATATTAAAGCATTTGTGGTTCAAATTTCATCAATTTTCATACATCAAGTGTTCCTGCATAAAGTCAGTTATTATAATAATGTTAGACCTACATGTTTATAATATTATCTTTTTATCTTTAATTGATACAGATTTATACATGGATGTGTTAAAGATTACATAGTTTTCAATTTCAATTGATCAAGAATTTGGTTTTGGTACATATAAGCTATCAGATCTCATTTCAATGAATGGTTTCGAGATTCAGTTTACCTATGAAATGCACAAAATCATATGGAAGATGTTATATAGATAATAACCCCTCTCTCAAAATTATTATAGTTAAATCAGTATATTTGATATTTTATAGGGGGATCTTTGTTTAGTAAAGGATCAATTGAATGGTTCACAAACATATAGATATTATGTTAAACAGTATCAATCTTTGATACAAATAGCGATTGATAACTATAAGCTTTCAAATACATGATTGTTTCCTTTATCAAGCAAAGATTGCAAAAGGCGCAGTCATTTGTACTCTCTCCGTGACAAAAGAAAAAGATTTTTTTGAAATCTGATTAACATGCTTATCTTGTACTGTTTTTGTTAAAAGTAAAGCTAACATTGTTCAATACATAAGACAGATATATCATCTGTGATTAATTCCTACTTCATGTTATTTTCATATAGGGACATGGACACCGTTCAACCCCGAGACAGTCAGACTGATGATTGGTAAGAGTTTGGTACACATCAACACATTAGTTGTCATTATTTATCAGGCAACACATAATATGTTGTAACAGATAACTTGACTTTTCTCAGAGATAAATCCTATTTAGTTTTTGCTGATGCTGACTCCAGCCTAATTGTTAAGTTTCCTACAAATATATTTTGTCCAGAACTCAAACGAAATTAGTTCTACAGGAAACTGTCCTAGTGTCTTGCTAGGTCTCTACCGTATTGTTAAATATCTTCCTGAAAATCTACATCAAGGTTTAAGACTACCTCTTTAATCTTTAATTGGTAGATAAACCTGAACATTTTGACTAGAATATGTCTGATCCTAAGTTTAAGGGAGATATTCTAGTAGGCAAATGCATATGGATAATTATACATATATAATTCTTTTCTAGAGCTTCATGGTCACTCAAATGATTCAGAGTTGTGTACATTTGAAGTCCTCACCAATATTCAATTGTGTGATATCTTTTTAAGGTATGTTTGACCGTGATAACTCTGGAACAATTAACTTCCAAGAGTTTGCTCAGCTGTGGAAATATGTAACAGATTGGCAGAACTGTTTCCGTAGTTACGACCGGGACAATTCAGGATCCATTGACAAGAATGAGTTGAAAACAGCATTGACAGGATTTGGTGAGCAAGTTGGAATGAATATATTTTGATGTTTGATATTATATTTGGTAAACTGTGACATGATTGTAATGTAAACAATGGTGAATTTTCTCTTCTGTTAAACGGTGGAATCGTTGACATGTTGGGGATTTTACAGTTCCCTTCTGGAAACCAGAACTAGAACTATCAACCTTTTTATCAATTCCCAGTCTCATAACCAATCAAGCTGTTTCAGTTTATAAAGTCATAATTCTAAACTTTCTTTCTGTCAAACTATTTTTCATTTCTAAATGAAATGATAGGCAAATGTAAAGATTGACACTTTCTTACAATAAGTATCTTGTGAATTTTGTGATTCGGTAACTTGTATCCCCATTTTGGGGGAAATTTATGTTTTGGTCATTTGGACAGTAATGCATGAACTGTAGTAGAACAGGTAGTTCCTTGTCTTTGTCCAGTTATCTTCTATCAGTTTCATGGTCAGGGTAGAAATACCATTAATTCTATTTTCCGCAGGGAAAGATGTGGTTTTTCAGTGAAAATATTGAAGTCTGACAATAATAAGATTTAATGTTTTCAGTCACTTTTGACCAATAAGATCGCAGCATTTGCAGCTAAAATATCCCTGAGTGCATTAATATTGCCGACTTCAGGAACTACAACTGTGGTATAATTAGCCCTTTGATCAGATATCAACAAATTGGGAAGTCCAAACTGGCATCAAGGGAAGGTGTGGAAAATGTTACAAAAAGAATATTCCTTTTTTCTCAGGGAAAAATGATTTTTTTTTTCATTTTGTTAGATGGAAACATATTTTTCACTCATACTGTGTACTCATGAAAAACATAAGGTTTCCACCTCTCTTAATGAAATATGAATATTATTATTAAAAAAAGCAAAGAATATCCACAATATACTGTATTTCTTATCAATGTGACTTGACATTTCACTTGGTGTTGCTGCATTTATTGAAAGGTGATCACTTGATCTACATATAGTGAGGGGCTAGGTCTAACTGTTACTTGATCTACATATAGTAAGGGGCTAGGTTTAACTGTTACTTGATCTACGTATAGTGAGGGGCTAGGTTTAACTGTTACTTGATCTACATATAGTAAGGGGCTAGGTTTGACTGTTACTAGATTACTAGATCTACATATAGTAAGGGGCTAGGTTTAACTGTTACTAGATCTACATATAGTGAGGGGCTAGGTTTAACTGTTACTTGATCTACATATAGTAAGGGGCTAGGTTTAACTGTTACTAGATCTACATATAGTGAGGGGCTAGGTTTAACTGTTACTTGATCTACATATAGTGAGGGGCTAGGTTTAACTGTTACTTGATCTACATATAGTGAGGGGCTAGGTTTAACTGTTACTTGATCTACATATAGTAAGGGGCTAGGTTTAACTGTTACTTGATCTACATATAGTGAGGGGCTAGGTTTAACTGTTACTTGATCTACATATAGTGAGGGGCTAGGTTTAACTGTTACTTGATCTACATATAGTAAGGGGCTAGGTTTAACTGTTACTAGATCTACATATAGTGAGGGGCTAGGTTTAACTGTTACTTGATCTACATATAGTGAGGGGCTAGGTTTAACTGTTACTTGATCTACATATAGTGAGGGGCTAGGTTTAACTGTTACTAGATATTGCCAAATTGTTGAAAGGTGATCACTTGATCTACATATAGTGAGAGGCTAGGTTTAACTGTTACTAGATATTGCCAAATTGTTGAAAGGTGATCACTTGATCTACATATAGTGAGGGGCTAGGTTTAACTGTTACTTGATCTACATATAGTGAGGGGCTAGGTTTAACTGTTACTAGATATTGCCAAATTGTTGAAAGGTGATCACTTGATCTACATATAGTAAGGACCTAGGTTTAACTGTTACTAGATATTCCCAAATTGTTGACAGGTGATCAGATCTATTTGATTTTGCCTAACTGTCGCCTGGTGACTGAACCTATTTCTGACCTCAGATGGTATATTGTATCTACTGTAAACAATGTAAATGTATATTAGATATACACTTGTATTCAGAACTGATCTCCATTGCTTTTCCTCCAGGTTACCGCCTCTCGGACAGATTCTACGACATCTTGGTGCGGAAGTTTGACAGACAAGGGAGAGGAACTGTAGCCTTTGATGATTTCATACAGTGTTGTGTTGTCTTACAGGTAAACCAGTTGAAATGAAATACATTATTTATAAGTATATTGTTGTCCTGGATTTAGATAACCATTTAATACTAGTCCACATTGCTGTATGTTTTATTTCTATATAAAGCAATATATATACAGGTACAGAGCTTTGAAACCATTAACTACCATTATGCAAAAAAAAAAAAAATTTTAGGTAAGAATTAAATAATTTCATTCAAATATTATAATTTTAGCTACAACATTTGAGATGTACAGGCTGATATGCTGTTAAACAGAATGAAAAGCAAACTTTAAATGCTTTTCTTAATCTTGTGTATTTTTCAGACTTTGACTGCGGCTTTTCGACAATATGACACAGATCAAGATGGATGGATCCAGATAGGCTACGAACAATTTTTATCGCTTGTGTTCAATCTTAAATCATAGTGTGCACTAAATATATGTTTAAAGACTTGTGGGCTTCATAACATCACAAATAGTGCTAAAGAAGATGGTGTATTTGTAATACAAAGATACGTGTATTTACATAGATTTTGTAGAAAAATCTTTTGTGAACAGTTCTTGAAATAAAGTGATTGTCTCTTTGATTTTTGAATATACTGCATGATTTGGCTAAGCTTGAAAATCTCTGAAAAGGCAACCCAATTATTTCATGTTGTAATCTCTTTTATTTAATGTTTTTTTTTATTTGTTATAAAAGTTTATTATACAACCGCCATTTATTTGAACCTATATATCCAAGATACCACTAATGCTTAGATAATGATAGTTTTAACACCCTGAGTTACAGAGATAAACCATGTACATGTATATATAACCAGCAATAATTTGTATAAAATAGTACAAAGTTATCACATTTTACAATATTGGAGAAATACAAGTCATATGCCAATTTCTGCAGTAGCATCTTTTCAAGAAACATGTAAAATTGTCCTTTGGGATTCTTTAAAAATCATTTCATATTGTTAAATTTAATTGCTTGTAAATTTTTTGTTTACACATTGTGTATGTTACACCAAATGTGTAGCCAAATTGGTCTGTCATTTTACTTTCTCGTACATGTTACACTGCAGTGTAGTCAGGCTTTAAGGATCACACCACAGCTTTTGGCTGGTTGTGTTTTTCTTGTGTGTGACACTCCTTGGACATATCTATAAACTCCATGAGAATGTCTTGTGATATTCCATAAGTCATTTTAAAATGAATCAATATGAAATGTTTTTGTTTTAAGGAGTAGCTTGGATCAAGATCATGGTTTATATAAAAACTATATACTGAACATCCTGTCAAGCATTTTCTTACTGTGGATCACTAACTAACCATAAAAATTATCTAAAAAGTAACAAAAATTAAAACCTGAAGATATTTTCAATAAATGTATTTCCAAGTCACGTAAAATTGAAACTGTTTTTGTTCACCCGAAAATGAGACTTGAAGATATTTTCAATTGTCACAAAAAATAATTACATCAATTTACAATATATTTTACACCATAATTGTATTTGCTTAAAGTCTTTTTTGAAATTGATAACAATTATTAGTTAAGACTTTTTAACCATGTTTAGTTAAATCAGGTAAAATATTAGAAAGTAAGTCTGGTAGAAATTCTATATACAGTACTGTAAAATCACATGTTTTCATGAGGCTCAAATGCATTTTCCAAGGAAATTGATTTCGTGGATATATCTTAAAAAATCCACTTGTACTCAAGTTTGGTTTTTTTTTATCGAGTTATCATTTTGTGGATGTATGGATTTGTGGATGAAGAGTAACCATGAATTTAACGAAAATAAAAACCCCACAAAAATTATTCATTTAACAGTAGTTGTATTTGGCTTGGTTGGATCTGTCGTTTATTATATAGATATATGTATTTTTGTGGTCAATAATTATACTAGATGTACGTATGTAGATGATAAGTAGTATTTCAGACTGTAATGCTATTCTGTAGCTGGCAATATTTTCGATTAGGTACAATATAATTGTGTAGTTTTGTTTGAATTTTTTGCATGAACAATATTTCAGCTATACAACATATACAGGGTATCCACTGATATGCTTCGGACAACATCTCTGTGTTATGATCAGCAGAATATAAGAAAGATAAAAACTTGTCACTTATTAATACATGTATTTAAGAACTTTTCAACATAGACTTCTGGAATGTTTTCTCTAGAATTTTCTTTTCTTTTTAAATTTTCACAGTCATAATTTTATTGTATTCAATATATGACACATTATATTTTTCTATTTACTCTAAAATGTTAACCTGTACCAGTTTTCACAGATGAATGATTTCATCCTAGTTTTCAAACCCTATCCATTTGCATTTTCTCAATATTCAATACCAGGTGAGAAAAAACTTTATGTGAGAAATTTTTCTTGCTTCTAAAAGCTTTCGGCAAGTTAAACACTGGGAAACATTTCAGATGTAACAAATTGCATTGTTTCACAGGAGAAATGGAAATCATTACACACATTAGTCTGTATGATGTCTTGAACCATAAAACGCAACAATGATGTATTTGTCTCTGTTCATGTCTTGAATTAAACAATAAAATTTAACATAGCATTTAAATTACCATCTTGTTTCTTGATGATGTGTTTATGCATGCATACACAGATTACCATATTAAACTTTATTGACCTTATTAGGAATTTTTTTCCTTCTTTCTTGTTTACATGTATATATAGTATTTTGACAACAATATATATATGGAAAATGAGAGTACCAAAAATGGAAATTTGAAGAGAAACAAACATTTTTAATGAAATATTGTAATTATTTGATTTGATATAACTCTTGATACTCTCTTGATGTTAAGTTGTTGCCAAGCAGTGCAACAATTGAAAGTACATTTTTAGCCAACCATCATCAGATAGTGGACTATTCATATTGCTCTACCTCCGTGGTTAATGTGTCCGCAAACAATTTTTTGTTATCACTATTTCTTGAGAAGTCCGGGATGGATCTTTCTCAAATTTTATATGTAGTTTCCCTTTGGTGCCTAGTTGTGCCTGTTTGATTTTGGAACTAATCAGAAAAAGTAAATGGCCGACAGATGGTCATCTTGGATTTTGACTTTGAAAATTGGTTATCGCTACTTCTTGAGAACTACAGTATAGATCTTTCTCAAATTTCATTTGTAGGTGAATCCTTGATCCCCAGTTGTGCTTGCTTGATTTTGGTACCAATCAGAAAAAGAAAATGGCCGACAGGTGGCCATTTTGGATTTTGACTTCAAAAGTTTGTTATCGCTATTTCCTGAGACATACTGCAAAGATCTTTCTAAAAATTTCCCATTGGTCTGATCAGGAGAAACAAAATGGTGTCCAGGCGACCATTTTAGATTTGGCAGGTAAAGATTATCATCACTATTTCTGCAAAGGAACGTTCAAATTTCTTATCAAAAACGGAGAAGAGAGAAAAAGGGAAAATATCCAACAAGGTAAGGAAAGGAAATCTCAATCTGAGGGTACAGATGATTAAGTCAGCAAACATAAGAATTGCTGAGTGTTTACACCTTAATGATCTTTTCCAAAGGGTAGAGATCACCTGTGACACCAACAAGGGGGCAAATGATTATTTTTTCTCTTTGTTGTCCCAATGCTTCTTGACATTGACGATGTGATTAAATTGTTTATTTGACATCAGTGAAATGTAACTGTGACAGGGAAATCCCCCTGTCTTAACCCTAGGGCGACAAGGAAATCCCACACTGATGGAAAGTGTGGATATATCTGTTCAGGGTGATAGAAAATTAGATCAGGAGACAAGGGATATCTGTTTGTTTTGTGACATTCATACTTTTGAATGAATTAGTATACAATATTAATGTTTTGAGTTTCCAGTCTACTTTTCTAGGTCAAGTAATTGGCCACTGTAAGCATGATGATCTAAGGAATACTTTCTGAATGTTCAGAGTTTTTACACTTTCATCAAATATGCACCCTCTCAAATTGGAAATATGGACAATTTTCCAACTATTTGTTTCAATCAAGATTTGGATCAAACCTGCATTTAAACCATCATACAAAACAATTCAGCATATTTTAATATAACCTATAGTTTGAACAGAACTACAACATTGCCAGAATGCTGGTGTTTGTCAGTGAGACAACACTGAGTGATAAGTAGAATAAAAGAGACAAGAAACAACTACTTTGGATTAAACTACAATTACAACAAAATACATATATATATGTAGATAGATTTTTATTGACTTCTGGAAAATTCACAATTTTTGTTTAAAACACAAAAAAGAAAGACATCAACGTTTAATTATTTATTCTAAATTTTACAAATTTATATAATTTTCACAATCAAGGACTTGTATAAATATGATAATATGTAAAATAGAATTATGCAATCTTTCATTCATTAATTAAATGTTTATCTAATTACATGTAAAAAAATACTGATTAAATGTAAATATTAGGATATCAAATACAGCTATGTGTTATTATGTTATGTATATCTTAATGAATATTCATGACTTGAAATATGTTATGGGTTTTTAAATTTTGAATAAGATACAGTAAGCATTTTCCAAGGGCAGAAGACTTTTTCAACATTAATTGGCGATAGGTTAAGTCTCTAAGACTTTTGAATGCATATACTGCATTTTCAATATAAACTTTATTAATATATTTACATTAAAATCCAAACACACTATGTATTGATCCATGAATTTGGATCAAAATGAACTGAGGAATGAAAAATAATGAGTGATGTTTAGATGTTACGTCATAAAACACAAAGTTTATGATGTGTGACGTTGGATGTTATGTCATAAAACACAAAGTTTATGATGTGTGACGTTGGATGTTATGCCATAAAACACAAAGTTTATGATGTGTGACGTTGGATGTTATGCCATAAAACACAAAGTTTATGATGTGTGACGTTGGATGTTATGCCATAAAACACAAAGTTTATGATGTGTGACGTTGGATGTTATGCCATAAAACACAAAGTTTATGATGTGTGACGTTGGATGTTATGCCATAAAACACAAAGTTTATGATGTGTGACAAAAGGTCAATAGTGTAATGAAAATCAGACTTTTGGATTTCCTGGAAGCTGGTAGTATCCTTTAGCTTGGTATCTAGATTTACTGGTCCATTTCTCAGCTTGCTAAGAAGCATAGACCACCAGGTTATGATGAAACACATCACACATCATCTTCACCTGAGGTTTGCTAAGCCTAATCCTCTTTTGACTGAGCTATTGTGCCCTCCTCCCCCACACAGGACATTTATCATTACAAGCAACATGAACACATTCAATACAGTATTTATAACATCTAAAACAAAATTCCTTAACAAGTACTATCAAGAATCATGGCAAGAACTAAAGCAAAGATGACTGTTTAAAATTATGATTTTAACTAATTATGGCTACATTTTATAATTTTGTTTTCTATTTTGCACAACACAACCTTACAAAAATCAATAAGCAATTTCAATGAAATATGCATAAATCTGATTGTTTATAATATTTGTCATAACCTGTACAAGAGTGATAAAAGTTATTCAGGAGAAATAGTCTTAACAAATCAAAAACACTTTTGTAAATATATATTTGTGGCAAAATATCATAATTTATATAAAAAAAAATTTATTCACTTTAATCCTAACATATTGATATACAAATTACCTAGCTGTGTCAGAGCACCATGCATACCCCCATTGACAACCAAGGAAAAGTTAAAACATTGACTTTCTAATGAGGTGTTTTGAAAGTCCTACTGGAGTACAGCAAGGCTCTCCAATTTTGAAATTATCATTTTCAGGGCAATTCTGGAAGAAATAAACTGACCTTTACTAAATTAGAAACAGCATATTATACACCTAGTACTGTATGTGTATTTATTCAGATAAAAGATAAAATGACATCAACAAAATCATGATGGAATGATGGTCAAAGGTAATACTATATGCTGCCGATCATAAAATGGTAAGGCCATGTTGCTGTCCAACTCTTTCTGCAGTAATTCAAATTTCAAATATATATAACCGGTATATAAGCTGCATGCCCGACTCATGAGGAAAAAGGGCGTGGCTTACTATCCAGGAAATACGGTATGTAATGTCTAAATAATATACTGAGTAGAATATAATAGTATTTAACTGATTATGGCACCTGATAATTCACTGATAAACAGAACCTCTGATACTGATTAATTGATGTATCAACCATTTCAGTTTTCAGCAGCACATGCAGAATCAGGAGGTGACTTGGATGCTGTTGATGAGGTGTGAGACTGTAAATCAGGGTAGGGGTACAGATGTTGAGAGGAGTAGATCCTGGCCGCATTTTTTAGTGATCTGTAAATAAACCATAATTTAGGTCTACAAGGTATCACATGATTTTGTCAAATAGAATGTACATGTATAATCAATGAAAACATTGGAGTGACAGCATGAAACAAGTGACAACTGCCTTATTTGCTAGAACCTGATGGATTAAGCTCTATTTCACCTCATTTCAGAAACCTGGCAAAATTTTCTCAAAAGTTTTTGCACCAAATGGACAGGATCTCGAACTAAATACAGGCAGGGATGAAGGTCACACATCACGTCTGCTAAACACACAGTCCCTAGACTTATACGGGGAGGGACAATGGACACACTTTGTGTCTGCTAAACACCCAGTCCCTAGACTTGTACAGGTGGGGATAGAAGTCACTCCCTCATGTCTACTAAACACTAAGTCCCTAGACTTATACGGGGAGGGACAATGGACACACTTTGTGTCTGCTAAACACCCAGTCCCTAGACTTGTACAGGTGGGGATAGAAGTCACTCCCTCATGTCTACTAAACACTAAGTCCCTAGACTTATCGGGGAGGGACAATGGACACACTTTGTGTCTGCTAAACACCCAGTCCCTAGACTTGTACAGGTGGGGATAGAAGTCACTCCCTCATGTCTACTAAACACTAAGTCCCTAGACTTATACGGGGAGGGACAATGGACACACTTTGTGTCTGCTAAACACCCAGTCCCTAGACTTGTACAGGTGGGGATACAGAAGTCACTCCCTCATGTCTACTAAACACTAAGTCCCTAGACTTATACGGGGAGGGACAATGGACACACTTTGTGTCTGCTAACTTTGTGTCTGCTAAGCACACCCAGTCTTATACGGGGAGGGACAATGGACACCCCTAGACTTATACGGGGAGGGACAATGGACACACTTTGTGTCTGCTAAACACTAAGTCCCTAGACTTACATGGGAAGGGACAATGGACACACTTTGTGTCTGCTAAACACCCAGTCCCTTGGCTTATACAGGGAGGGACAATGGACACAATATGTGTCTGCTAAACACCAGTGCCCCAGACTTAAACGGGGAGGGACAATGGACACACTTTGTGTCTGCTAAACACCCAGTCCCTAGACTTGTACAAGTGGAGACAGAAGTCACTCCCTCATGTCTACTAAACACCAGGGCTCTAGACTTATACAGTCGGGATAGATGTCACCCCCAAATGACTACTAAACACCAGGGCTCTAGACTTATACAGTCGGGATAGATGTCACCCCCAAATGACTACTAAACACCAAGGCTCTAGACTAATACAGACGTCGTCACCTCCTCATGTCTCCTTAACACTCGGTCCCTAGACTAAAACAGGCAGGCACTCAGTCCCTAGACTAATACAGTCAGGGATAGAAGTCACCCCCTCATATCTCCTCAACACTCGGTCCCTAGACTAATACAAACATCGTCACCCCCTCATGTCTCCTTAACACTCGGTCCCTAGACTAAAACAGGCAGGTACTCGGTCCCTAGACTAATACAGGCAGGGATAGAAATCACTCCCTTATGTCTCCTTAACACTTGGTCCCTAGACTACTACAGGCAGGGATAGAAGTCACCCCCTCATGTCTCCTTAACACTCGGTCCCTAGAATAATACAGGCAGGGATAGAAGTCACCCCCTCATATCTCCTTAACACTTGGTCCCTAGACTACTACAGGCAGGGATAGAAGTCACCCCCTCATGTCTCCTTAACACTTGGTCCCTAGACTAATACAGGCAGGGATAGAAGTCACCCCCTCATGTCTCCTTAACACTCGGTCCCTAGACTAATACAGGCAGGGATAGAAGTCACCCCCTCATGTCTCCTTAACACTCAGTCCCTAGACTAATACAGGCAGGGATAGAAGTCACCTCCTCATGTCTCCTTAACACTCGGTCCCTAGACTAATACAGGCAGGGATAGAAGTCACCCCCTCATGTCTCCTTAACACTCGGTCCCTAGACTAATACAGGCAGGGATAGAAGTCACTCCCTTATGTCTCCTTAACACTCGGTCCCTAGACTAATACAGGCAGGGATAGAAGTCACCCCCTCATGTCTCCTTAACACTCGGTCCCTAGACTAATACAGGCAGGGATAGAAGTCACCCCCTCATGTCTCCTTAACACTTGGTCCCTAGACTAATACAGGCAGGGATAGAAGTCACCCCCTCATGTCTCCTTAACACTCGGTCCCTAGACTAATACAGGCAGGGATAGAAGTCACCCCCTCATGTCTCCTTAACACTCGGTCCCTAGACTAATACAGGCAGGGATAGAAGTCACCCCCTCATGTCTCCTTAACACTTGGTCCCTAGACTAATACAGGCAGGGATAGTAGTCACCCCCTCATGTCTCCTTAACACTCGGTCCCTAGACTACTACAGTCGGGGTTAGTAGTCACCCCCTCATGTCTCCTTAACACTCGGTCCCTAGACTTGTACAGTCGGGGATAGTAGTCACCCCCTCATGTCTCCTTAACACTTGGTCCCTTGACTAATACAGGCAGGGATAAAAGCCATCTAATGGTGATGAGCTAAATATGCACACAAATAACAGTTGCAAAATTACTCCAGTAACCTGTTCAACACAAAATGTCTTGGATTTTATACATAAATAGCTTCAATGTTCATACGTATATTCCTAGATATTATAATTCTTAATAAAGGGTTGTTTTTTGCAATGATGCAAATTTTGATCGAAAGTTTTAAGGCTTGGTCAAAAAACACACAAGTGAATAGCACCTTTTCATAATTTTGAGTGAGATACAGTAGAGCCAAACAAGGATATTATAATTCTTAATAAACTGTTTTTTGCATGCCATTAGGACTCGTCAGTGTCAAAAAACACACATGAATAGCACCTTTTCATAATTTTGAGGACTTGTCAGTGATGCTGCATCATACAACTGTTTCATCCATCTAGGACTCGTCAGTGATGCTACATCATACACCTGTTTCGTCCATCTAGGACTTGTCAGTGATGCTACATCATACACCTGTTTCGTCCATCTACGACTCGTCAGTGATGTTACATCATACACCTGTTTCGTCCATCTAGGACTCATCAGTGATGCTACATCATACACCTGTTTCGTCCATCTAGGACTCATCAGTGATGCTACATCATACACCTGTTTCGTCCATCTAGGACTTATCAGTGATGCTAAGGGCCTAAATTTTGAAACCTGGAAGGCAAATAAGGAAAATTCAAAGTGATTAAAAGAAAAGTAAAAATCTAGACGGGGAGGTGCAGCAGCCCCATAATTAAGCAAAGTGGATGTTTTTGCTTCACAAAAATCAGGAAGCAGGCTATAATGGTTTTCACTAATTGATTTTATCATCTATTTTTTTTCATCCTCTCCTGGAAAAAAAACTGACAAATAGAATATCTCAAAAATATAATCCCTTTACTTCAAATCAACATTCCTTTGCCCGAGTATCAAGAACACACAAACTCATATATTATATAACTAGTATATTATATTATATTATATTACTAGTATATTATATTATATAACTAGTATATTATATTATATCACTAGTATATTATATCATTTTATATTACATTATATTACTAGTATATTATATTTTACTATTATATTATATTATTGTATATATCAAGAACACAAAAATTATTATATTATATTACTGGTATGTAAGAATGTGTTGCGTAGTAGGTCTTAAACTGGAATTACTTACTTTAATGTCACATCAGCTGTTTTCATTGTGTGTATCTCTCCATCAATATTCATGAGGTAATTTAAAAAATTCTTGTCCCCTAAATCCTTTGGTTTGACCTTTACCCTGATGCTAGTAGGCTGCCGTATTGTAAGTGAAGGGAAATCTTCTTCCTATAAACAGCAAAATTACTAAAAAATCATACATATTTTTGGGGAAAAAAAATTGTGGTTTTTACAGAAAATAGTATTTTTGTGCACTATAGATTTTCTGGAGAAATAGTGCTTTAAAAATCAAGTAATACTGAAAAGCTTAGCCATATTTCTACAGTTTATTAATTTTTGAACATATCAACTTATCCTGACTTTGTACATCGTATAAGACTTGGTGCCTGGGTTACATCAAATTTGGTCAAAAATACACTCCTCTAACGTGTTTAAATAAGTCAAAGAAAAGAAAAAGAGGCCCCAGGGGACCCGTATCGCTCACCTGGTTTATTTCAATTTCAAATATGATAAATAATTTCTGATGTTATTTCCCTATTGGGTCCTGACCCTGTGGTCAAACAGAAGTCAAATTCACTATTTATTCATAAAAATTACTTCAGACAGAACTACAACAATATTCTTGTACGGAAGAAGGATTTTTGAGAACTTTTGTTTCCCTAATTTCGCCATCCCTTCTCCCTAGGGGGCAAAGATGCACCGTTTATACAGAACTGATTCTCCTTCATCTAAGAATACTTCAGACCATATTTGGGTAAAATCCATTCATTCATACTGGAGTAGAACATTTTAAAGAATATGTCTATTTCTGCTACTGGGCCCTGTCTTCCTTTGCAAGGGAGAAAAGACTTACCATTTATACAAATCTGATTCCCCTTCACCCAAGAATGCTTCTCATCAAATTTGTGCAATTTCCAATAGGAAGAGTAGGATGTTAAAGAATTTGCAAAATTTACTCCCCCAAGGATACTTCTGACCAAACTTGGGTGATATCCAATCATTCCTAATGGAGAAATAAGATTTAAAGAAATTTGCACTATTACCCCAATTGGTCTCCACCCTTCCATTCCAGGAAGCCGAATTCCACTATTTATTCACAACTCTTCACCGAAGAATACTTTAGACTAAATTTGGGCAGTATCCGTTCATTCCTGCTTAAGGAGAAGGATTTTAAAGAATTGACTTTATTTCCCTGAGCCCTGCCCCTCCTGCCCCAGGGGGCTGAGACCTTGGGTCTGTACAAGAGTGATTCCCCTTCACCCAAGATTGCTTCAGATAAAATGTGGCCAATATCAATTAATTTGTAGGGGAGGAGTAGGATTTTAAAGAACTTACACTTTTTCCCCTGTTGGGCCCGTCCTTCCCAACCCATGAGTCTGAGACTTAAGGTCTGTACAAAATTGATTCCCCTTTACCCAAGACTTCTTCAGACCAAATTTAGGTGATATCCATTCATTCCTACAGGAGGAGTAGGATTTTAAAGAATTTACTCTATTTCCCTTATCAACTAACTTCCCATTCTAGGTCCCACTGACAAGTCCCTAGGGATCAAATCAACTTTCTGGATTTAAGTATAATCCTTCACCCCAATGATGTTTCAAGCCAAATTAGGTTGAAATATGACTAGGCGTTAAGCAGGAGTAGGAGTGTTTTAAAGCAAAAGTTTACAGACAGCGAACAGTGAATGGTGCAAGATGACGGATGATAGCAATAGGTCATCTTGACCGTATGGGTCAGATGACCTTATAGAAATAAAATAAAAAGCCATACCCGTAGCATATCTCTTGTTAGCATTTTGCCCATTAGTTTAAAAAAATGTGTTTTTGGAGTACGTCGAAATATCAGTATAAGAAATTCTCCAGGTGCTTCTCCAAAACATTTTGAAGGAAAAGCTGCCACCATGCTGAATTCTCCATCAATTTGTTCTAAAAAAAAGGAAAAAAAGGACAGATCGGTACACATTTGCTGAGATGCTGACCATTCCAGAATTATTTGCATTAAATTTAATCTTTAATCACTTTACAACAAATGTAGAACAAGCTCTAAGCACACGAAGCTCACATAGGGTTATACTGGGGAGGAAACCAGAAAAACATGCTAAATTCACGGGACAGGTGACCCCATACCTTTTTACATTTAAACTGGGCATTAAATCCAGTGTCCTTGGTGAAAGGCAGGTGCAATACCATTTTTGGATTTTGGTTATGTAAATGAAAGCTTTTAACTAATGAATTAAACGAGTCTGTTGTTGCCAATATAACCCTGCTCACAGAACTGAAGACATGTCTACTTACAAATGTAATGTACTTTATAATTGTTAGTGGTACTACAACCACTGAAACATATAGTGAATGTCAATTTGTCAGATGACTGGAGTCATTGGTTGATCATTCTTATCTCCCTTTTTTTCATTCGATCAATACAATAACCATGGCCGTCAAGGAAGGCAGAGAATGCTGGCTGATGGACAGGTTAGGCTGTTTTATAATCCTATCAATATATCAAAGGCAGCGCCTACTTGGGTTGGACATACAAACTGTACTTTTAATTATTTTTTTTTTTTTCAATGATTCAAATTTATGCAGTTTTACTGAAAGCTTGAGGCAAAAAGGATGTTTTGTTTATTTACTTTTTTGTGGCAGTCATAAAATGAGATACTGTAAAAATTTTTAGTTTTTCATGGGGGATTTCTTCTTTTCATTGATTTCATGGGGACCCCATAATCCACGAATTCATATGTCCATGAACTGTTATAAGTAAACCAGTATGCAGATTTAATTATCTATATTCATCCATGAAATTAATTGTCCATAAAATAATATTTTTTATAAAAATCATGAAAATTGATCCCCATGAAGATGTATGATTTCACATTTGTTGCTAATCTTTGGTTTTCAAGTTATTATTTTTGTGGTTTTATTCCATCCTGGAAAATGTGAAAACTGGAATTCTACGAAATAACAGTAGTTTATAGCTATTAATGGTTTCATATTGTGAATTTACTGAAATGTCATATTGTAGGCATATTATGTTGGCAGGAACAGGCGAGGTTTTAGTTGTTACTTTGGCTTCTGGTTTAGTGCTATCAGTCTTTAAAGTGGGTCAAGGTCAATTAGATGAACACACAGAGGAAGCCCCTTCCTCCAGGCAACACTCTGTCTGAATATTTTGATCATTACACATTTTATCAATGAGAAGATGTTATTTTAAGATTTTGATACACTTGACCCTTTAAACCTAAATTGAAGGTCAAGGTCATTCATTTGAAAAAAAAATGTTCTTTACCCCAGAAAAGTACTAGCCTACCAATAGCAAAAGGTCTTGTAATTGGCTTTGTTTGGAAGGTTTTAATACATCTGACTTGATAATCTGATACTAAAAGGCTCTTCATTTCTGCAAACTACCAGCCATATGTCATCCTTTGATTTCTAATTTTCAGAAGTTGCAAAATCGAAAATGTTAAGATTGGATGGAAAGAAGATATCAGTGAAGAAAGACTGTATGACGTAGTTACCTTCTTTTTTATTGCCTTCCTCATCATCTTCTTGACAGAGTTGGCTGAAAATACCATCAACATAAGAGCTTTAGTCTCAACATCTTACTTACATATCAGTAAAACATAGAACAGATTTTGATTAAATTTGATATTTTTTTGTGATTGGGTAATATATCAAATTATCATAAGATGGAGTTTAATTTATCAATATATAGCATTACATTATGTGTTTATAAAACATATTACAAACCTGCCTGTCAGTGTTAACTCAGCATCGAAGAGTCTTTGAGATTTTAATAAAATTGTGTAAAATGGCATTACTGAAACAAGGATGGGTAAAACATGTATTTCATAAACATTTGAGAATTTGAGATTTCAAAATATCGGGAAAAAATCAAGCACACATTGCTATCATGATATAACATCATTATCCATATTATGACATCACAATTGATTTCTGACTAGAGCAATCAAAGAAAGTTACTCCAAAGTATCAATATTACACTACAGGTAGTGACATACAGTGTATTGTATTGTAATAATACAGAGGGTAACCAACCAATTATCTATAAAATACAAACCAGATACTCTATCAAGAAATGTAATATTTGACGAGATGTAAATATTCCTTAACATTAATTTCACATATAAAGCAACATTTGTCAATACATCTTTAATTTTCATTTTGATTAAGGATGATTACAAATATCTTTATCAAAATGTGTACCAACCTGCATAACGAGCTCTTCTCATCCATCGTTTCTGGTCTGTAAGATACATCATGTCTGCAAACAGACCATAGGCACTCACCACTGAGGCATAGCCCAACAATTCATCACCACTGTACTCAGCCATTAAAGGAATCATACAAGTGTTTCCTGGGAACAGTAAAAAAGATACTATTAATGACAGTTAATACGTTTAACAAATATATTGAAGACAAAATATTAATATGAGTAAAGAAGACGTCATTTAACACAATCATGTAAGTATATGTGACAAAACAGTATACTAGGTATGTTAGAAATTGTATTATGTCTGATAATGTCCATATGAAACTAAGGGCTGAAAGGTCACATTTCATCAAAGTTTAACTAGGATAATTCAAATATATCCTTTAACTAGGATACTTCAAACACCTCCTTTAACTAGGATACTTCAAACACCTCCTTTAACTAGGATACTTCAAACACCTCCTTTAACTAGGATACTTCAAACACCTCCTTTAACTAGGACAATTCAAACACCTCCTTTAACTAGGATACTTCAAACACCTCCTTTAACTATGATACTTCAAAACACCTCCTTTAACTAGGACAATTCAAACACCTCCTTTAACTAGGACAATTCAAACACCTCCTTTAACTAGGATACTTCAAACACCTCCTTTAACTAGGATACTTCAAAACACCTCCTTTAACTAGGACAATTCAAACACCTCCTTTAACTAGGATAATTCAAACATGTCCTTTAAGTAGGATACTTCAAACACCTCGTTTAACTAGGACAATTCAAACACCTCCTTTAACTAGAATATTTCAAACACCTCCTTTACCTAGGATAATTCAAACACCTCCTTTAACTAGGACAATTCAAACACCTCCTTTAACTAGGATAATTCAAACATGTCCTTTAACTAGGATACTTCAAACACCTCGTTTAACTAGGATATTTCAAACACCTCCTTTAACTAGGATATTTCAAACACCTCCTTTACCTAGGATAATTCAAACACCTCCTTTAACTAGGATACTTCAAACACCTCCTTCAACAAGGATAATTCAAACACCTCCTTTAACTAGGACAATTCATACAACTCCTTTAACTAGGATAATTCAAACACCTCCTTTAACTAGGACAATTCAAACATGTCCTATAACTAGGACAATTCAAACACCTACTTTAACTAGGACAATTCAAACATGTCCTTTAACTAGGATAATTCAAACACCTCCTTTAACTAGGACAATTCAAACATGTCCTTTAACTAGGACAATTCAGACATGTCCTTTAACTAGGATAATTCAAACACCTCCTTTAACCAGGATAATTCAAACACCTCCTTTAACCAGGATAATTCAAACATGTCCTTTAACTAGAATAATTCAAAGACATTATTTGAAGAATTTCTCAAGTCTCAAAAAATGAAAATAAGAATTCAGGTTCAATGTTTTATTTAAGACAACCAGGATTGTTATAGGGCAGATTTTATGGTTTGTTTGCTAGGTTTTTTGCCCTGTCAGCGGCCAGGATTATTTTGAGACAGAGCATCCTTGCAGTTGCTGGTGGCGACTTAACTGAACAACAAAGAGGAGGCCCACCATATGCCATCCAGAGCAATTGGAATAAAGGACACAAACATGGCAGTACTGAGTAGTCCATTCTGCAGCTTCTTGGGGAAAACAACTGCCACTGATAAGGATAGTCAAACTAGACATCTTGAATCTTCACCTTAGGTTGTGTAGTCCAATGCTCTGCTGAATGGGTATTTCACGGTATCAAGGCAGCAAAAATAGCCAGATTTCAACAAGTCAATAATTAACTGCATCAAAAGTCATGATAGATAAATAGAACCTTTCATCCCCTTGGAGGTGAGATAGGCAGATCTCAACCCAAGGGAAAAGATAATTGAGATTGCAGGCAGCTTGCCAAGTGTTTGTAACTTAAACATCTTTCCCTGAGGGTTGAGATTATCCTATCTAACCAACAAGGGGTAAATAGTTATTTTTCTCTTACCCTATTGGCTTTATAGGGTACTTGTGTGTCACAAGTTTTTGTTGTCATAGTGCTTCGCATCACTGATGTGATTGACGTGACATAAGTGTAATGTTAATGTGACATTGTATCATTGTCCTGACAGGGGAATCCCCCTCTCTTTAGGGACACTAGGGTGAGATAAGGAAATCTCAGTCCTGATAAAAGTGTGAATTTACTTGTCCAGGGAAGAAAAAAAATCATCCTTTTTCTTTTCTTTTTTTTTTTTTTGATCTCATGATTAAAGATAAACTAAGGTCTTTCCATGTCGACAGTATATAAGACATACCTTTGATGATGTGAAGTGCAGCTGTGACAGTGTCATAGTTCCCAAAGGCTGCTACTGATATACCATTACCTGTTCCTAAAATAAAATAAAAAATCTGAACTGTAAACATCAATCCAACTGTAATTAGATAGCATACAATAATTAATTTGTTTATGTATGTTAATGATGTATGTTTATGTATGTAACTGATGTCTGTTTATGTATGTTAATGATGTATGTTTATGTATGTTAATGGTGTCTGTTTATGTATGTTAATGGTGTCTGTTTATGTATGTTAATGGTGTCTGTTTATGTATGTTAATGGTGTCTGTTTATGTATGTTAATGGTGTATGTTTATGCATGTTAATGGTGTCTGTTTATGTATGTTAATGGTGTCTGTTTATCTATGTTAATGATGTATGTTTATGCATGTTAATGGTGTCTGTTTATGTATGTTAATGGTGTCTGTTTATCTATGTTAATGATGTATGTTTATGCATGTTAATGGTGTCTGTTTATGTATGTTAATGGTGTCTGTTTATCTATGTTAATGATGTATGTTTATGCATGTTAATGGTGTCTGTTTATGTATGTTAATGGTGTCTGTTTATCTATGTTAATGGTGTCTGTTTATGTATGTTAATGGTGTCTGTTTATCTATGTTAATGGTGTCTGTTTTTGTATGTTAATGGTGTCTGTTTATGTATGTTAATGATGTATGTTTATGCATGTTAATGGTGTCTGTTTATCTATGTTAATGGTGTCTGTTTTTGTATGTTAATGGTGTCTGTTTATGTATGTTAATGGTGTCTGTTTATGTATGTTAATGATGTCTGTTTATCTATGTTAATGATGTATGTTTATGCATGTTAATGGTGTCTGTTTATGTATGTTAATGGTGTCTGTTTATGTATGTTAATGATGTGTCTGTTTGGTGTCTGTTTATCTATGTTAATGATGGTGTCTGTTTATGTATGTTAATGGTGTCTGTTTATCTATGTTAATGATGTATGTTTATGTATGTTAATGGTGTCTGTTTATCTATGTTAATGATGTATGTTTATGTATGTTAATGGTGTCTGTTTATCTATGTTAATGATGTATGTTTATGTATGTAACTGATGTCTGTTTATGTATGTTAATGATGTATGTTTATGCATGTTAATGGTGTCTGTTTATCTATGTTGATGGTGTCTGTTTATCTATGTTAATGGTGTCTGTTTATGTATGTTAATGGTGTATGTTTATGTATGTTAATGATGTCTGTTTATCTATGTTAATGATGTTTGTTTATGCATGTTAATGGTGTCTGTTTATGTATGTTAATGGTGTCTGTTTATGTATGTAACTGATGTCTGTTTATGTATGTTAATGATGTATGTTTATGTATGTTACTGGTGTCTGTTTATGTTAGATAGATACTCACCAGTACGTATTATTCCAATGGGATATAGATACTCACCAGTATGTATTATTCCAATGGGAGATAGATACTCACCAGTATGTATTATTCCAATGGGAGATAGATACTCACCAGTATGTATTATTCCAATGGGAGATAGATACTCACCAGTACATATTATTCCAATGGGAGATAGATACTCACCAGTACGTATTATTCCAATGGGAGATAGATACTCACCAGAAGGTATTATTCCAATGGGAGATAGATACTCACCAGTACGTATTATTCCAATGGGAGATAGATACTCACCAGTACATATTATTCCAATGGGAGATAGATACTCACCAGTACGTATTATTCCAATGGGAGATAGATACTCACCAGTACGTATTATTCCAATGGGAGATAGATACTCACCAGTACGTATTATTCCAATGGGAGATAGATACTCACCAGTACGTATTATTCCAATGGGAGATAGATACTCACCAGTACGTATTATTCCAATGGGAGATAGATACTCACCAGTAGGTATTATTCCAATGGGAGATAGATACTCACCAGAAGGTATTATTCCAATGGGTATAGTATTAGACTTAAAAGGACCATTTCTATCATTGTAGTCGAGTCCCGCCTTCTCATTGGTAATTCTCAACAGTCTGTTCAAAACCTCACAAAATGAGCCATCTCCGCCGAAAACTACAATTCTGGATAACAAAATTTAGGACACAGTTAATGTAATAATGTTCAGAGAGGACTTTTATCTATCTAATTTATTTTTCTTTTGATGTTGAAGTGTACAACAATTAGAAGACATCAATCAGAGACTGAAAGAGGAGATACAAAATTATCATAACAAGAATGAAATGATGAAGAAATTAATTGGTAATCACTCTTCAGAAAATTGTTGAATCAAAATGCCATTTTAGAAAAGTACAATTTCATGTCATAGTTATAAAGCTTTAAAGTTTCAAAGAAATCAGTTATAAACTGCAGGAGAATAATTTTGGACAAGATTATAATGCTGGAAAAAATAAAGGGCAATAACTCCAAAATTTGTTAAAACAAACTGTCGTCCATTTATGAGGCATACCAAGATTGAATGTGACTATTTGAAAACTAATAAAAGAGATTGCTAGATGTGATTAAGATTATGAAACAAACAAGAGGCATAAAAATCGATTGAATCAGGTTGCCTTTCAGGAAAACACAGTTATATGTCATGGTGATTAAACCTAGCAAGTCTGCAAGAAGTTGAAAACTGACAGAGGAGATATCTGGACAAGTTTAGATTATGAAAACTACAAGGGGCAATAATCTTTCCAAATACTGTGGAATCAAACTGTTTTCAGTGAAACACAACGTCATGTCATGGTGATAAACATTATCAAGTTTAAAAGAGAGTGCAGTTGTAAAATCTGAAAAATGTGGGAAGAGATCTCAGCCTTCTAAATGTTCACTACAGGACGACAAATGGATGGATGCACAACACCATCCCATCTAAATGTTTGACGTGTGCCTTACAAAAGAGAGAAAGTTATGTTATTTTCACTCCGTACAAAAATCACTAAACAGGTATATTTTCAAAGTGGAATTATACATACCCATCTACTGTAGACAAATCATACTCTGACAACATCTCCTCAAAGTGTTTTGCTCTTTCTGAGACTAGAATGGAAATGATTTTAAAATTATTTTGAATATTTCAGTGACTGTTTTTTTTTTAAACTTCTGGCATCAGCATTCTAACTACATCAGTGTTAGCTATCATCCCCATTAACCATTTATGTCTACCAGGTGTATCATAAACTCTTTACAAGTATTAATAAGTGGAAAACTGTCAAATTGTTTAATGTATACATGACTCCAACCACTTAAACCCATATTCCCTGTTGTATCTTTTAAGACCTGTGAATTGCAAGCTAACAGGCTAAGAGACCTGAGAACTTTAACAGTCGACATTGTAGATGAAAATGGATCTACCTTTTTGATATGTTTATGAGAATTTGAGAGGTATTTAGGGGCTGGATCAATATAGTTGGTAAAAAGATCCTCCTTCAGTTGTAACACCACACAGGGGTGTTATTTTTATCAAATATTGATTTATCCTCCAACGTCTGATAAAAACATATACTGAAATATTTCCTGTGGGGTGTATTTATTACTTGTGTTAAGTGTTAAGGAACCACTACGCTACCTAAAGTGTATGTAATGTTAACTACCAGAGAGATTTTTCTTGTAATATATTGAATCTTAAGTTTCAATTTACATTTATGAAATGAGGCAAAGATTAATTTAAAGGCAAGCTAAAATGAAAAAATTCTGACATTTTTCATAAATGATTAGTAAAATTATAAAAATTTGGCGAGTCAAATACAATTTTTAAAACCAGTATATATTTGTCAATTCCATTCCTTACCCTTTACATCACAGGTAATACGAGCCAGTTCAAACAATGGTAATATTCGTCTAGAATTACTTTGTCCATATCTACCTCCACTGATTGGGTTCACAAGCACCAGAAAGCGTTTGGGACGCTGGTCATACACTGTGAAATAAAGAATTATAAGCCAAATACGTATATTAATTATATTGTATTAAATTGATTTTGTCCGCACTTTACCATCCCTTAAGGCATAACTAAAAATATTGGAAGTAATCCCATCAGGGTCAAAATCTAGGTCACACTAACCTAACTTTGTTGTACAATATACATATACAATGTTCCTGCATGGCAAGTAGTAAACTTTAAGTGTTAAAATCAGTTCATGTACCAATATAGGACCCTATCTGTATTGAATCTTTTGGTAAATCTTATTCTTTATAAAATAACAATAAATTTGAATATTTCAAGGCTGATCAGTGCACAAAATCTTCCTGTTGAAGGTTAAAGGTAGGTTAAAGTCTTATCTAGATCTATTTGTAGCATTGCTGATAATGAGTCCTTTGTTTGAGTTACAAGGCCACATAAAACTAGAACTATCATCTCAAGGATAACTCTACTACCTGTATATGCATAAACCTCTCTATACCATATTTGGTCAAAATTCCAACAACAAAGTAAAAACCAGTTCAAAATTATTTTTGGTGTTCCCTTTTACCTCTATACACTAGAAGGTTAAAAGCAGAAAATATCTAAATCTCAACCAATAAGAGGCCACGGTTTGTCTCAGCATAGATGTACATGTATATATTTAACCTATAACAGTAGTGATGTTGGTGTCCCCAAAACCCTTTAAACCAAACCAAATTCATTCAAAATTGAGCAATATCTAAATTTCAACCCATCAGATACCACCATTTGCCTAAGAATGATTGTCATGGAAATGAAACACATACAGAGATATTTGGCAAATTATACCCCTATATACTAAATTTGGTCAAAATTGGATAATATCTAAATTTTGACCAATCAGAGGCCAGGATTGTGTTGCCAAAGTAGCTGTTTCTGAAGCACATAATGTATCTTACAGTAGGTTTTAATTAGTTACTATACCAAATGACTAGGGTTTATATGAGTAACAAGGTAAGAAAACCTGCTTACAGTTACCAGTTACCATGGCAACCATATTTTCAACAGAAAAAAAAACCAAAGGAAAAAATAATATTACCACTAAAATATATGTGTTTGCAGCATCAAAAATCTCATGACTTTTCCTCCAATGGCTACTTTTGAATTCGTGATCTTTGGAAAGATCCTGAGTCGACCTGGAAGATTTTTTCAGGTACTGTATTATTTACCTTTCTGGAAGTGTAATTGTAAATCAGAGATAAAACGCTGACACTCCTCAACCTGTCCCGTTACACATTTGGTCGCCTGTTTCCACAGCAACTTCTTCCGCGTGATGTAGTGTACCTTACACAGCCATTTTGGTTTGGTAGCTTTTGATTGGTCAGTGGAAACATTCAGTGCAGTGTCATTTGTTTCTATCCCTATAATGTCATCTAACACAACAGTTGATTCTAAATATAGAGAAAAAAACATCGTTATTACAGGCATAGGGTAATTAACAAGTTTATGGTAATTAATTGCAATGCATTGTTTTTTTTAGGTAATTGAATGCTTTTTTCTATGAAACTGAAGGTTAACTTGACAAAATATAATGTTAATTGAATCAATTACATCACAAATTTTCTAAGTTTGCTGATTACGTTTCATATACAAATCAAAGGAAGCTATTGATCATACTATTGTGTCATAATGCATCAACAAACTCATGTGAAATTTGTTAATGATAGAGTTTCTTGTGGTAACTCTAATGTATTGAAAGAGTTTCTTCTTGTAATTTTACTGTATTGACAGAGTTACTACTGGTTACTTTGCTGTATTGATATAGTTTCTTGTGGTAACTTTACTGTATGGATATAGTTTCTACTGGTAACTTTACTGTAATGATATAGTTTCTTGTGGTAACTTTACTGTAATGATAGAGTTTCTTGTGGTAACTTTACTGTAATGATATAGTTTCTTCTGGTAACTTTACTGGATATAGCTGTAACTTTACTGTAATGATATAGTTTCTTGTGGTAACTTTACTGTAATGATAGAGTTTCTTGTGGTAACTTTACTGTAATGATAGAGTTTCTTGTGGTAACTTTACTGTACGGATATAGTTTCTTCTGGTAACTTTACTGTACGGATATAGTTTCTACTGGTAACTTTACTGTAATGATATAGTTTCTTGTGGTAACTTTACTGTAATGATAGAGTTTCTTGTGGTAACTTTACTGTAATGATAGAGTTTCTTGTGGTAACTTTACTGTAATGATATAGTTTCTTCTGGTAACTTTACTGTATTGATATAGTTTCTTGTGGTAAATTAAATGCCTTATAAATATACATATTGTTTGTATGGTACAACATTATTCTTAACTGTACATGACTGTTACAGCTATATTCACTGTCCCCAAGCGCCCGCTTCTGATCTATGGTAATACGATTTTTCCCGGTGCTGCAACATTCACTGTCGTCAACAAAAATTAGTCACTCTCATTACACTCCGTGAGAGGTTAACATTTAGGCTATCTTTGTAATAACGCGTCCTGGAAACCTACACATTTTGTGTGATCAGGCGCTTGGCTACTTACCTTTTGGCTTCCGACCTTTTGTAGAAATCCTGAGATTGTGCTCGCTAATTGTGCAATCTGCATTTACTTCACCATCAACAGTCAAAACGTACGGCATTATTCTTCACTCGGTTTCAGCGAGAATCATTTAAATTGTGTGTACATCTAAGGGCCAACACATATAGCCGGGATGTTGACGGTTTAGCCTGATCTGGGGTAAATGCAGTTTATGAATTATTAAAGATCCTGACGAAATGATATACATCGCGGTCGATTTTTTTATATATATATATACATAGGTCAGATCACCCACATCGATGTGACTGTTTCCGGGTAATGTTTTTGTCCCCCCCCCCCCCCCCCAAAAAAAAAAAAAAAAAAATCAGATAAATAGACTCGTTCTGTGATGACTCCAAGTGAGTCTTTATCAAATTTATTACAGCCAACTATCCAAAGAGTAAACCATTAGCTTTATTTGAATGTTTCGATGTACTTAATTCTCAATTTTTTAAACGTGTTTTACGTCCACTATTACGGCCACCCGATCTTACCATATATTTTCATTGTTAATTTTTTCAAGTCATGTTCTGCCCTACGATTATTTACAGATTTTGATAGTTTTCAAGTTATTTCCAAGTTTGTCATACCTGACACCGAATTTATAAACCATTCCCCAATCAATATGATATAATGACATCTCACATCTACATATACCTGACACCGAGTTTATAAACCATTCCCCAATCAATATGATATAATGACATCTCACATCTACATATACCTGACACCGAGTTTATAAACCATTCCCCAATCAATATGATATAATGACATCTCACATCTACACATACCTGACACCGAGTTTATAAACCATTCCCCAATCAATATGATATAGTGACATCTCACATCTACACATACCAGACACCGAGTTTATAAACCATTCCCCAATCAATATGATATAGTGACATCTCACATCTACACATACCTGACACCGAGTTTATAAACCATTCCCCAATCAATATGATATAGTGACATCTCACATCTCTACATATACCTGGTACCGAGTTTATAAACCATTCCCCAATCAATATGATATAGTGACATCTCACATCTCTACATATACCTGGTACCGAGTTTATAAACCATTCCCCAATCAATATTATATAGTGACATCTCACATCTCTACATATACCTGGTACCGAGTTTATAAACCATTCCCCAATCATTATGATATAGTGACATCTCACATCTCTACATATACCTGGTACCGAGTTTATAAACCATTCCCCAATCAATATTATATAGTGACATCTCACATCTCTACATATACCTGGTACCGAGTTTATAAACCATTCCCTAATCAATATGATATAGTGACATCTCACAACTCGTGCACACCTTACAATGGGTTTAAGAAATATCCCCCCACCCAACCAATATGCAGTACTTAAGTTAGCGAGAAAAGCTAGCCATCATTATTACTGACCCTTGTATTGTGTTTCAGCCAGAAACAAGAAACAGGAAACACGTATTATTTTGGCCTTCAACAGATGATTCTTTTGACGCCATTTCTCTGATTATGATGTTTAAATTGAATCACAGAGGCATATGACATGAAATAATAAAATCCTTACCATAGGTTTACCCGTTCCTGAGTGTTTCTTTCACTTCTGCCACTCAGTCATAAAGTTGAGGAAAATGGAAAAAAAAAATCAGATGATGAAAGGGCAAGTCTCCTTAAACTTTAAAAGATTGCTAAACTAGGCCATGAGTCAGTATTGATGTCGTTGTCTGTAATGACCAACATGATTGCAAACAATGACTTATGTGCTACTCACTGATCCTTATCATATTACACTATTATTATAACAGAGAGACCTTCACGAGAAACTACAAATAATCGGTAGGTAAAAAAAAAATCTGGTACGGAGCTAAGGTGATACGTGAAAGTTACTTCCTTTCCGCGCACGGTGTGTAATCGTGTACACGATGATCCAGTTATCAACTTGGACATCGTATACCAGAATGTTACATCGTGTACATTGCTAGCTCTTTTCCCACCACACACTTTATTGATCGGCGTCCAGCATATTTGTTTCAATGTTTTTTACACAGATTTTCAGACAAAAGATAATACGATGTGCTGACAAATTTTGATTAAGACTTTAAAATCACAGAGTTGTACATATCAAACGACGGACCTATATCCAAGTCCGTGATCAAATTAATCCTTAATGCATGCGCAGTTATAAGGATTTTTTATTCAATGTACCGGATATAGGAAAGCTTTTTCATATTAGATATTGGATAATAAGAGTTTCTTTTACCACTGACGAAATCGTTATTTGCATTTTGAACATTATTTTGATTAAAATAGAATATCATATTAAAAGTTTGGCTTTCCAGTTGATTAAAATAGGCTATTAATGGTTATTATACTTGACTTAGCTAGAATTGCTATGTAAAATACTAACAAAATGATGTACATTTGTTAAAAAAATGTAAAAATATGCAGTTTCTTATTCGTTTTTTTTTAAATGTTTTTGTTGTTTTGTTTTGTTTTTACCTAAAGGCCATACAGTGAATACAGACATCCCCTATTGGACTCTCCTACGCTTAGACTGTGATAGATTGTAACTGTGTCTATGATCTGAATCGGTCAATATCAGCTTGTATAAATCCCTCTTGATGGCCTGGATGGGGAAATGAACCTTGGTTGCCGAGCGAACTGGCGAGTGAGTTACCACAGTGCCATCTGAACACCTTATCTTCTCAGTAATCCCACACAACATGCACTTTTGATGTGTTTGTGTAATGTAATATCAACTGGAGATCAAAACTCTTGAAAACGTGCAAAAAGAATAAGACCAGGTGCCCAGGTAGAGCAAGCGTCTTAAACTTCATCGACGACAATTGGACTCCAGGTAATAACAAATCGGTTAATTTCTGTCAGCAACATACTAGCTAATTATTTAAAAACGAAAAAGAGTAAACCGAATTCTCAGCATAATCTTATCTCAGAATCGATCAAATAAGTGGGAAATAAGAACAGAATGTCGCGTTGCCAAGTGAGAACAACAAAGAAGTGGCCATGATTGATTGATTGATTGATTGATTGATTAATTGACAAGTTTTCCGTGTCCGCGAGTCTTCCCGTGTCAGGATATCGTCTTACCGACGAATATCAGTGTTCTGGCGACGTGAAGAAGTTGTTATATAATGGCATAGCTTATGCATTGAAACTTTTGTACAACACGTAGGACAAAGTGGATGTCTGACCGTCTTTATCACTCTAGCCTTCAACCTCTGGGTCGCGGGCTCGAGGCCGATATGGGGCATAGGTTACATAGCTATCTATATGATTGTGAAGCTTTGTCGCAACTAGGCATTCCATCACAAAAGAACGAGTGTTTAAATACCACCCTTCTGTCGGTAACAATCGTTTACTTTTTCTAAAAACTACCATCTTGGTCTTCTCGACATTCACGGCAAAGTTCCAATGATCCAAGTAACTCTTTAAAAAATCCAGAATATTTTGGAGCTCAACAATGTCTTCAGAAACTAGCACAGTATCATCTGCATACATGATTAAAAACAAATTAAGGAGTTGTATATGATAGCTTTGACAATTGGATACAAGAAGTCCTGATTCCATGTCATTAACAAACAAGGAAAACATAATCGGTGATAAAGATTCACCTTATGATAAACCGAAGTCGTACACTAGAGATCATTTACCATGCAACTTCACGCACGACTTAACATTTTCATATATAGATTTTATCACATTCAGCAAACGCCCCCTGACCCCAGATTTCCACAATTTAAACCATAACTTATTATGTGAAGTACTATCAAACGCTTTCTTGTAATCAACAAATACACAGTAAAGCCTTTTGTTACATTGTAAAGCTTTTGTAATTAAATACGAACATTGCATCTCTAGTACCACTATTTGGTTTAAAGCCAAACTGAGCGTTCGATATAACATGTTCGCTCTCACTCCATTTAAGCAGACGTTTATTCAAAATAGACGTGAATAACTTAGCAATGTGACTAATTAAGGTAATGCCCCTATAATTATCAACATCATTTTTATCTCCCTTTTTATGTAATGGTATGATAACACCTTGCGACCACGCTTTAGGTAAATATCATACTAAACAACTTTAACAGAATCGGTTCAAACACATCCCTATTCCATAAAAAAAACTCATTAAACATCCCGTCAAGCCCTGGTGACTTACCTCTTGATAATCCCTTAATTGAAATTTTCTGCTTATCAAGACCAAAATCTCTGTTTAACTCGGTGTAAACACATTCATTATCTGTCACCTGTTGGTCATTATTGCCAGAGTATTCAACATCCATATCAGAAAGTGCTCTAAAGTAATTGTAAAACTGTTCTAAAAATAAATTCCCCACGTCCGGAGTCTTACGCCTCGAAAAATGCTTATAAAATAATTTTGGGTCGTTCCTCTTTATAATGCTTAACATGTCACCTTCCATCTGGAGATAAGGACGTTTCACCCTTGCTTTAAACATCTTGTAAATTTTGTTTTGACGAACTGAAATTTCCCTATTGCGTGGAGATCTTCATCTATTTAAAGAAAACAAAGCATTCCTTTACAATTTATTAATACGTTTACATTCATGATCGAACCATGGCTTATCGGGATCTTTGTCTTTGCGTTTAGACCAATTGTGACATGAACAACAACATGTACTTACAACTTCATCTTCGGAACAAAACCTATCAAAAACATAAAGGATAAGGACCGGTGTTTAACACCCCATCAACAAACATTTGGTCACGTATAAGCTTGACCTTCCTTCCTTCTCTCCGTTTTCCTTTCATAATCGGGTACAGTTTTTCCTAGCCTCTTCAATGACAGGAGGGAATTGTTCATTGATCCCAAATAGCTTACCTCTCAAACGCAAGGCATATCTCAACATTTAGTCTTGCTGGCGCTGGCACAAATATCTGGCAACGATTGGGCGAGGTTTGTTTCCACGTCGCTTGCCGAACGTGTGAACATTAACAAATTCTAATTCTTCGTCGATCCAGAGCTCGTTGCAGATACATTGTCGAATGAAGGCTTCTGTATTTTTCCCCTTTGT